AATCCAAAACTTATCGATAAGTGAGTCGTCAACAACATCGATGCTAATATCGATGCTTGAGTGGTAGAGTGTTTGGTTCCTCGGCTGCCCGGAGAGACGCATCCATCATATATACAGAGTCAGAAAAAACAACATAATTGTCATTAAGTTGGCAACAGGTGCGCCTGTCGCGATGCCGGTCAAGATGTACGATGTGACGGCCCGCGTATTTGGCGCCATGCAAAATCTGGACATAACATCTCTCGCCAGTTACCCGGAAACAGAGATTCGACCGGTGTTGCCGTCGCTGGTGCGAATGAGCTTGCTCTCTCCGCTGGACAATACAGAATCTTCGATGGAGTCACGCAAACAAATACTCGCCGTACTCATTGGCATCGAGGTGGTGAACAGTATCGTGTCCTATCTCCAGGTGAACTATCACGAGCTGGAGAATGATCTAAAGAAGGAGTTGCTTACACGCCAAAAGACCAGCAGTGTGACCAGCTTTTTCGATGGTCAAGGTCAGCCCCAGCCGCAGCCGGAATACGGTCTTCAATCGGGCATTGCTCTCGGCTTCGAGCGTGCGGATGTGGCACGCAAAGTCCGTGTAGTTCTATCCGAAATCTTTAATCTGCAGCAACAGGTCGCAGCCGCTGCCGAGCAAAAGCCATCGGCGGGCGCAGCTGTGGGCGTGTCAAGCCATTCGGAAATCCTTGACGATGGCATCTATTTGGAGGAAGTGGTGGACATACTATGCATTGCTCTCGCTGAGCTGCCCTCCCTGCTAAACATCTTGGAATTGACAGATGCTCTGGTTCATGTACCAAATGGTTATCGCATCGTCTGCGCTTTGGTAGCCAATTTTCCGGATTGCTATCGGGATGTGGTCTCGCATGTGATTGCCAATTGTGATGAGGAGGGCGCCGAGGGCAAACAGCGTCTGGCACTGTTGATGTCGCTCAGCGAAATGAATCCCTCACAGGCGCTGGCCAATCGCTCCATGTGCGTGGACATGATGAAAATGCCATCGTTTATGCTCAAGCTGGCGCTGAAGCATTCCGAGGATTTGGTAACCGAATCTAACTCTAACTAAACCCAAGCCTATTCTCATCTATTATCATTTGCAGATTGCCTTCCTAACGGGTTTGCTGCTGGGCAACGATCAGAATCTACGCTCCTGGTTTGCTTTGTACATACGCACCAGCCAGAAGCGAAAAGGCGATGCACTGAATCTAGTACGCATCGAGCTGCTGCAGAAGATACTACAGATTACCAGCAGTGCGGCAGAGTTGAAGGACTTCAATTTGCAGGGCGCTGTCCTGTTGCGTCTCTATTGTGCTCTCAGGGGAATCGGTGGGTTGAAGCTCAATGACGATGAGATCAATGCGTTGTCCCAGTTGGTCACCAGTTGCCCCAAACCGACGGCGTCGGGTGTTCGCTTTGTCACACTGGCGCTCTGCATGCTCATTGCCTGTCCGTCGCTAGTTTCTACGATTCCACTGGAGAACAAGGCTGTGGAATGGCTGCAATGGCTCATTCGCGAGGATGCCTTCTTCTGCAAGCGCTCGGGCACGAGCAGCTCCTTGGGCGAGATGCTGCTCCTGTTGGCCATACATTTCCATAGCAATCAGATAACGGCCATCAGCGAAATGGTCTGCTCCACGCTGGCCATGAAGATTCCGATCAGGCCGAACAGTACGAATCGCATTAAGCAGCTGTTCACGCAGGATCTGTTTACGGAACAGGTGGTGGCATTGCATGCCGTCCGTGTGCCGGTTACACCCAATCTGAATGGCACAATTCCAGGGTATTTGCCAGTCCATTGCATTCACCAACTGCTCAAATCGCGCACTTTCCTCAAGCACAAAGTGCCAATCAAATCGTGGATCTTCAAACAGATCTGCAGCTCTGTTCGGCCCGTGCATCCTGTGATGCCCGCTTTGGTTGAGGTCTTTGTGAACACGCTGATCATACCAAATCCCACGGGCAAGATCAGCATTGACCACATGCATCGGCCATTCACTGAACAAGAGATTCTCCATGTCTTTCGCACCTCACCGCTCACCTTCTTCGCCGAGGAGCTGCAGCCGGCGATGGCCAATGAAGAGCTCAATCAGGTGGAGGTGGCTTGTCCGCTGACCTCGCAGCTGCTGATGATCTACTATCTGATGTTGTACGAGGATACCCGACTGATGAACCAAAGTGCCTTGGGCGGACGCAAACAAAAGGAGTATACAAACAACTTCCTTGGCGGCCTGCCATTGAAGTATTTGCTGCAGAAGGCGCATCAGTATCACATTGATTATCTCTCCCTCTTCCATCCGCTGCTGCGGCTGATCATCTCCAACTATCCACACCTGAGCATGGTCGACGATTGGCTGGAGGAGCATTATTTGGCCACAGCCATGGACCTGGATCATCAACGAACGTACGATCTCAAGCCGGAGCTGTTGACGCGCGCCTTGCAAAATGTGCAGACGAAGCCACGCCTGGCCATACGTTTGTTCAAGCGTCTGCTGCTGCTGCCGCCCGAGGCGCTGGCGCAGCATGCCCATCAGCTGGTGCAGCATCTGCCGCATGTCTTTCGCAAGGATGTGCCACGCTATGTCAAGGATCTGTACAATGATCTCTGGCTGAGATTGAATGCCGTTCTGCCCACCACCTTTTGGATTATGTCGCTGCGCGCCATTACCCACAACTCGGATGCACTCAATCGACGCACTTTCGCCAATGAGAGCCTGCTGGAGCCCATGGATGTGCTAGGGTACGTTTAAAACGGGTTTGGTAATAGGCATAGGAAAGGAAACGTAAAGAAAAGCCCAGCATTTCTCTCTCTCTCTCTCCCTCTCTCTCTCACTTTCTCTATCTGTTTCTTTCTGATATATGCTGCAGCTTCAGTTGCTTGTAGTCTTGTATAGTCTACTAGTTGTGTGTTATAACGCCTACATCCATACAGACTCTAAGATACCCTGCAATTGTCCTCCAGCTCATTCGGCATAAAAAGCTGTTAAAATGGGAGCAGCTAACCGCCTAGATATCTCCCTCCCTCTCCCTCTCTCTCTCTCTCTCTGTCTGTCTCTTTCTGTAACGTCCAGTTATATATGCTATATATCCCATAGCAGCCTTATATACACTATATATACCCCTTAGCTTGCCCTGCCTCTTGTCTATCGCTCTCTGTCTCTCTGTTTATCTAGACATTTCTCGCTGTGTCTCTACGTTTCTCTCCGCCTCTTAGTCCTTCGCTTGGTTTATGCATCACAGTCCCGCTAGAGATGCCCATGATTCTCATCGCATCTCATCTAAACTTTTCAGTTGCCCTCGTGAGGTGTTCTGCTCTCCGTACATGTTGGTCATCCTGTTGCGCATTCTGAAGGGCAGCCTGGCCGCATCGAAGACCTACCTCAACGTGCATATGCAACAGAAGCAGGTACTGGACAAGAATGGACTGGTGCAAACGGATGCGGATCGCGAGGAGCTAAAGACGACGCTGATTGCCTCGCAGGAGAGTGCAGCCGTCCACATACTGCTCGAGGTACTGGACTATATGGATAGCAAGGCGGATACGCGTGTGGCGAAGCTGGAGCTGCGCGAGCTGCAGGGCATCATTGGCACCTATGTGCATCAGGCGTTCATAACGGAGCCATCGCTGGCCAGGCTGGTGCACTTCCAGACCTATCCCAAGTCCGTCATACCCATGATTGTGGCCAGCGTGCCGTCGATGCACATTTGCATTGATTTCGTACACGAATTTCTCAACGTAACCGAAATGGACAAACAGATCTTTACCATCGAGCTGACGTCGCACCTGGTGTTGAACTATTCGATACCCAAGAGCTTGGGCGTCTCCAAGTTCTGTTTGAATGTCATACAGACGACGCTCTCGCTGCTCACCTCCTCGGCCAAATGTAAATTCCTGCGCCATGTCCTGCCCGCCATGGTGCGATTCGTTGAAACGTTTCCCATTCTAGCCGACGACTGTGTCAATATCCTGATGAACACCGGACGCAGCCTACACTCGCAGTCCTCCCTCGGTGTTACCACCATGCAAATGCCTTTAACAGAGAGCGCCAAGCTCTGCTCGTATCGCGATGCCCAGCTCCATATCAACATGATCGAAGATGCTTTCAAAGCGCTCGTCGAGGCGGTCATGCAAAAGGCGGAACTCTATTAAATATATATACTTTATGTATATATATAAATCTGTATCTGTAACTGTAACTGTATCTATAGCTATTCAAAATTACTGTCTTAAGTTCAAATCTATTTTTAGAGGACATTTTAGTAAGTATATCAACGATTATGTATGTGTAAAAATTACATTGTACCTCCCAAATCGAGCTATCAATAAATGTTTTACAAACTTTCAACTTTTCCCCACGAGGTTTGTTCAAACCCTATGACGATGCTCCATTGTTGTCCTTTCAAGGAAGGCTCCGATGCTATTTGAACAGACCTCGTCTAAGCATATATCTTCTGAGTACAGAGAATGAGTATAGATTTATATATATTCCTTAATATGCTTATGGATATTGCTTCGCAAGAGCTCGATTTTCTTGAGCTTTCATTTTCCGCCCTCACTCAAAGAGAAGGAAAAAGTTGTTCTTGAATAATTTTGTATTTTTTATTGTTATTTTTACAACTAACGCTATTTGTTGCCTTTACATATATAACATGTAAAAAATAGTATTTAGGAATAGTTTTTTTTCACAAATAAAAAAAAAGAAACAAGTGAAAAGAAAGTGTGAAACACGAATGCAGAAATGCCAGCGTATGGGATGGGGCAGCGAATCCGGCACAGTTGTTCAAAAAAGGATATAAATGCGAAACAAAGCACACGGCGGAGGCAACCACCAATACATGTGTGTATGTGTGTGTGTGTGGGTGGGTATAGGTGTAAGTTGTATAAAGGAAGTTAACTACACCTGACTAAGAGAATGTGGTTAAACCCATCCCCTACTCTGGCATTGTGCATCATGGGCCTAAACGTATGAATGGTGTGGTGTGGTGTGTGTGTGTACGGAAGTCTAAGTGGTTGATTGATGGTGATTACATCATGCCACCCATACCACCCATGCCTCCCATGCCGCCCATACCACCCATGCCGCCCATGCCAGGAGCAGCATCCTCCTTGGGCGTCTCAGTGACCACAGCCTCAGCGGTTGTCAGGAGCGAGGCAACGCCAGCAGCATCGGTGATGGCAGTGCGCACCACCTTGGTGGGATCGATGATGCCTTTCTCAATGAGATTGCCATATTCGCCCTTGAGTGCATCATAGCCATAATCGCCTTCTTGGGTTTCCACCTTAGCCACAACCATGGCGCCATCAACGCCCGCATTCTTGGCAATGGTCATGCAGGGCATGCGCAGAGCACGACGCACAATATCCACGCCGAGTTTCTATAGAAGATTAAATTGTAGAGATTAAGAAGATTAGATGAGTGGGAGATGTGTCCTACCTGATCCTCGTTTTGTGTATTAACTGCATCCAGTTTCTCGATGCAGCGCAACAGAGCGGTGCCACCACCGGGAACGATGCCCTCTTCAACGGCGGCGCGTGTGGCATTCAGAGCATCATGGACACGATCCTTCTTCTCATTGACTTCCACCTCGCTGGAGCCACCGACGCGCAACAAAGCAACGCCTGAGGCAAGGCGAGCCAGACGCTCCTGCAGTTTCTCCTTCTCGTATTCAGAGGTGGTGTCTGTGATCTGTTCCTTGATCTGATCCACGCGACGCTGCACATCGTCCTTCTTGCCTTTGCCCTTCAGCAGCAGAGTATCATCCTTGGTGATGACCACCTCGCCTACTTGGCCCAAATCGCTGACCTTTACATCTTCCAGCTTAACCAGATCAGCATCATCACCGAAAACGATGCCACCAGAGGCGATGGCCATGTCGGTGAGAGTGGATTTGCGATTGTCGCCAAAGCCTGGAGCCTTGACGGCAGCCACTTGCAGGCCGATCTTCAAGCGATTGACGACCAGAGTGCTGAGGGCCTCTCCATCGATGTCCTCGGCAATGATGACCAGAGGCTTGCGCTGTGAATTGGCCAGCTCGAGAGCTGGTATAATGCTCTGCACTGAGGAGATCTTCTTCTCGGAGAGGAGCAGCAAAGCATCCTGGAACTCAACCTTGGCGCCCTTGGAAGAGTTGATGAAATAGGGCGAAATGTAGCCACGGTCGAACTTCATGCCCTCGATCACCTCCAGCTCATCGATAAGGGTCTTGCCATCCTTGACGGTAATGACACCATCGCGGCCAACACGCTTCATTGCATCGCTGATCAGTTTGCCAATGGCCTGGTCACCGTTTGCCGAGATGGTTGCCACCTGGGCAATCTCTTCGGGTGTCTTGACGGGACGCGACATGGTCTTTAGGTTCTCCTTGACGGTCTCGACGGCGACCATAACGCCACGACGAATCTCAACGGGATTGGCACCCTTTGAGATCTTCTCGAAGCCTTCCTTGGCAATGGCACGAGCCAGCACGGTGGCCGTGGTGGTGCCATCGCCGGCCTCCTCATTGGTATTGTTGGCTACATCCTGCACCAGTTTGGCGCCAATATTCTGGAACTTGTCCTTCAGCTCAATCGCCTTGGCCACCGTAACGCCATCCTTGGTGATCTTTGGTGAGCCCCACGATTGCTCAATGATTACGTTGCGACCCTTGGGTCCCATGGTCACGGCCACAGCATCGGCTAAAACATCGACGCCCTGCAGCATCATGGCGCGCACCTCGGCACCAAATTTGACATCCTTCGCATAGCTGCGCATCGCCAGCTGCCGACTGATGGAGGTGCGTGCAAGTGAAACGGGTAAGCGGAACATCTGCAATACACACAGTGCAATATATTTATCGATAAATCAAGTGCCGACAAGTGTAGTCAAAACGGAGAAAAAAACACGTGCACAGCACTAATTAATGGAATATGGAATTTGATTTCCATTTCAGTTCTTATTAAGTCATTGATAAGCACAGAGCGACCCCCTACCGGTGCGATAATATAACGAGAGAGCAAGTCTTCCAGAACAAATCATTTATGTAACCAAGTCGCACCCCTACCCCAGCCCCTTAGTTGTGGGCTGTTGCAATGTTTAGGCTTGGTATGAAATGTAGGCCAAGTGCATGGTCCTTCCGTACATACGTTATACTAAAGTCCAATAGCAAAACATGCACCATTCTCGCGTAGTAATTGTGAAATCGCAAGAAGAAAGAAAACATGTGCGCTCGCTGTTGTTACGTGAAGTCTATGTTGGTGCCGCTGGAAGGCGATTCCAATACGAAAATCCATTATTATCAATGGAAAGTAATAGAGAAAGCCCGCACGAATTGTCTATTCTGAACATAATTGAGATGCATTTGCTTTAATTCAATTCACGTTACGTTTTTCAGAAGATTCTAGAAAGAAGCTAGCCGCTCGCTTTGCCGGTTATCTTATATAACACAGCAATGCACACATTCGCAAACACACACACACCACACAATAATGATAATCCAAATACTTGTCACACGCGGTATACGTACATAAATTAATTTGTTAATTTTACTTACTTTTATGCTGGTTCTTTTTACTTGATTGTAATATATTTGATAATCAAAAATAAAGCTGTGTTGAAACACTTCCGATTTAACTTGATGTAAATTAACAAGCTCACTTGCTCGAAATGTGCCGCAGGCGGACTCCTAACCTTAACAAGACTTTTGAATGAGTGACTATTGGCACAGTGTGACCGCAGCGCGTAAGCTAAAAAAAAGTGCTAACGTAAATAAAATAAAAATACCAAAGCAGCCAACTTCACGTTTAAGGTCTAATTGTATTCGATAGGCCGAAAGCTCGATTTCGAACGATAAATACAAATAACATTTCGTAACCGTTTATTTGAAATAATAGCATTTTCCCTAAGTTATAAATTGTATTCGCTGCTCGATACCGACAGTTATAGGCCCAATCGCAATCATATAATCCATTAAGGCATCTAAATCAAAGGGGCCCACTCTGAAAGGGATTCATTAGAACTGTAACTCAACTAATATCTATAGCCAATCTTACTCAAGGTCTTGGGCATGATTGCTAATCAGAGAGAAACCATTTTTGCCATTGGCTAGATATTCCATGACCACCAGTCGATAATGCTGACTTTGTTGTAAAGGTTGATATTCAGGTACAGGGCAATTGGAGCAGCGCACAAGCATTTGGATCACCCGCTTGCCCGGATCAGCTTGTAGATTGTAGACGATCCTCAAGCCGGCAACTTGAAGAAAACGCTTCGATGTGGGCAACTTAAGGCTGGCGTTCATCGGTGCTACGCTATCCTCCAGCAGCTGCAACAAATGATCGCCACGCATAGTTAGCGCATACAACCGATTCTCCCACGGACACATGGCTACCAGCTGCTTATAAGTGATGTCTATCGAGGAGTGAATGACGATTAGTTCAATTTAGGTTACTTTTGGTGATAAATGCTTTCACTTACTGCCCGCTGGCAGGGGCACACGAAAGTTGCCTTGGCTGGTCAGCGCAATGCTCACATTGCTCCAATTTGACGCTCCAGCGGATGCCTCTTTAACAAACTGAAAAGCTTGAGGATTAGGGAGGGAGAGAGAGAGGATAGAAAAATTACTCACGGCATGGAGCATGGCATCTGTGTAGAGATTGCCCAAATTGCATTCGCCACGCGCGCATTCCACTTGCTGCAAGTAGACGCGACTGTTGCCCACAATACGATTGGATGACTCCTCCAGCTCAGCCTGCCAAGGCTTCAGAGCAAGAAGCACGTCCTCGTCTTGCATAAGCAAAGGCCAAAAGTAGAAGGAAAGATAAGCTTAGGTTTTTTCATTCATGGATGGTATATATGTACGGAGCGCATACCCTGTACTTAGTCAGCATTTATAAAGGGCATATTCGTTTTGTATATATATATATTTGTATAATGCAATTGGAAGACCTAAAAGCCGTGCTCATTTATACAGAGCACAGTTATAGATACCTTGTAATGATTAAAAGTGTCTCATGGGTATATTAATTTGGTGCATATATATGTAACATGCAGCAGAAATAGCCAGAGATTATGTGCATATGTCGCATACCCTGTACTAAGTAAAAGTGACTAGTGGGTATATTTATTCTGTGATAACTTATATAACAAACAATAAGAATAGGAGCTTCGAGCCAGTCAACATTATCTTTCTCTCTCGCTCTCTCTTTCTCTCTCTCTCTATCTCCCTCTAATCTGAGAAAACTTTCGAGCCTTCACGTACTTCAGTTAAGAGTTAATAGAAATAATTCAATGTTAAATCGCCACTTAGATAAGCTATCAAAGCTTGTTAAAGCAAAGTAATTCGAGAATAATTTCTTTGCACACAATCAACGGCAATCCAATAGGCTATATAGCTATAAGTATCAAAGATTATATAAGGTTAGTCAGAGCAGAGACGAAAAGATGGAAAGAAAAGTAAAAAAAAATATTATTAAAATAATTCCTATATAGATAGAAAATATAGACAATCCTGAACTAATGAATCTATCGATCTATTTAAACACAGATTTCTTTACAAATTTATTTTAATTTTAATTTAACAAATATTCAGATTTTCGATTCTGCATGCATTTAAATATATAAAGGAATAAAGCTCATATTTGTACTTATCGATAATTATCGATTTCCAACAAGCTGTGTATTTGATAAATGTCAACAAACTTAAGCACTTAAGAGTTTTCGTATTTCTTCTGTTTCAAAGCAAATTAATGTTGTAAATCGATATTTATCGTTCTTGTCTAAGAAGCTGTGTTCCCGTTGAGCACCGTAATGCGACCCTCGAGGCCCGTATAGATGGGATCCACGTTGCTGGTGTAGGAGATGAGGGCATCTATGTCCGTAATGCTTGTTCTGCAAATAAGAGATATTCGATAACTATCGATAGCTCGATATGAGCGCTGATCGATGAACACTCACTGGACGTCGGTGCCAGTACTGAGCATGCTATAGCCATCGCCGCCGCCTTGCAAGAAGCTGGACGTGATGACGCGATAAGTTTTAGCCGGATCGAGTGGCTCATAGGTGGGCACATCGCAATCGGCGCAACGGGCCAGCACAGAGATGACGCGCTTATTGACTGGCTTGGTGTAGTCGAAGGTCACCTTCAGGCCGGACACCTGCAGCATCACATACGAGCTAGTCACCCCATTCTCCAGGTCAATCTTGCTAGCTGCATATTCCAAGGCGTCGATCAGGTTCTGGCCAGGCAAGTTGGAGGCTATCAGCGTGTTCTCAAATGGCGACATGCTCACCATATGCGCATAGGTCAGATCTACAAAATATACGTGTATAGAGTTCAGCTTAGGCACGCTTCACTGTAGGTTTGGTTCACTCACTGCCGCGCAGCAGAGGCACGCGCAGGCCACCCGTGGCAGCCAAGGCAATCGAAACATTCGTCCAGCCTGGCTGATCAAAGGGCGTCAGGCCAACAAACTGAAAAGAAAAGCGCAGCTTAGAGACCACACAGACCCAGAGCTCAGCACTTACCGTATGCAGCATTGAGTCGCACACAAAGTTGCCCAAATTGCACTCGCGTGTGCCGCAGTCGCTTTTGGTCAGATCGACGAGAGTTCGGCCAACGACCACCTTGCCCTCCTTGTCGATGACCTCCTTCCAGGGCTGTAGCGCTTTCAGCACAATTTCATCTGCAGCAGCAACAATAACTCATCACAAACTACTTGGCTTAGGCATGCACGACGATAGAATACCCTAGCCCAATCAATTTGTGCTAAGCACGAGTATAGACCCAAATTCTCTATCTGCTTGTGTAAAATCTACCATTATAGGCCTAGTAGGCTTATCGATATTTATCGATTTACTTAAAATGATGTGTGTTAACAAAAAAAACTATTAAAGTCTTGTGCCCACTCTAAAGGAGGTATCGTCCACTTAGAAATACGCTTATAAGTTTGAAATAATTTATCGATAATTATCGACATTTTCATCTTCATGAAAATACGCAAGCTAAGTAGTTTAGCTCTTGAAATATAGCATAAAAACTATTAATCGATAATTATCGATTAATTATTCAGTTTCGATAATTATCAATAGGTATAATTATTGAACTTCATATGTATTTTTAAACCGCAGTTATTATCTCTAGAGTTTTAAGTCTGCAAAACACACTTTTGAAATCAAAACTGTAAATCGATAATTTTCGATAAGTATGGAGCATCTGCATTGGATAAATAGAATCATAGTACTCACTCCTCAAGCTTTCAAAAATAATCCTTAAAAATAAATATTGCTATATATCGATATTAATCGATCATGATGTAGATATTGCCAGCAATTAGCTTAAGTACAGGGTAAAGGCAAACGGTAATATGGTTAGGTCACTCACCCTCTGGCACATCGGCGCTCATATAGATGGGTGCACCCTCGAAGTCGATAACATCACCGTTGGCATCGAAATATACCGTTAAATTGCCCACGTACTTGGCATAGGCGCCGGCCTGAACGATGAGCACACGATGGCCATTGCTGTGGGTCACCTCTGTGGGATAGTCGCCACGCGAACTGTCCGGCCCGGGTGGCACGCCCGTGTAGAGGAACGTGTGCGAATGAGCACCCACAATAACATCGATAACATCACCCGCCTGCTCGGCAATCAGCTTGTCCACGTCGTAGCCGCAATGCGAGATCACGATGATAATGTTGGCGCCCTGCTCCGTCAGAAAGCGCGCCTCCTCGCGAATCGTATGGCTCTCGTTGCGAAAGATCAGGTTGCCGGTGTTGGCCAGATCCTAGAAGACGAGCAATGGAAACGAATGAAAAGCTGAGCCAAACCCGAGTGCGACTGATGCTACATAAGTGGTCTCCAAGATAACGCCAATGAGTCCGATCTTGCGGCCACCGCGCTCCAAGATTTTCGACTTCTCGTAGAGCCCTTCCATGGTGGGCTCATGGGCACAGTCCATGTTGGCCACCAGCATGCTCGTCTGCACGGTCTTCAAAAAGGGCACCACGCCTGCGACGCCATGATCGAACTCATGATTGCCCAAAGTCTACGAGAAGAAGAAGTGGAAGTGGGCGGGTTAAGACAACGGCTATAGATGGTCGTACCATCGCATCGGCTGGCAGCAAGTTGAGAAACTCTTGGGTCACATTCCAGCGTCCAATGTTGTACCAGAGCGTGCCCTGGAAGCTATCGCCCGCATTGATATAGATGGGATTATGGTCCTTCTGCTCCTCGAGCAAGCGCTTCACCATGTAAACGGTTCGCGCATAGCCGCCAATGCAAAGTTCGCCCTCATCACAGGTGCCGCCGCTGGTGTCAGTTGGCTCAAATCTGGAATCCGATCAGATGGAAATTTCAGGAATTTCTAAACACGTTCAGAATTGCTCTATATATGAGTGTGTGTATATATTAGGTGTATGGTTATATGGGGATAATGTTTGCTTATCGATGCGATGGCCGTGTGGAAACAATCGTCGGAGATAAGCGTGGCGCACATGATTACGGCGATTGTGTTTACGGTACTCGAGTCGATTATATGATGATATCTACCATTGGCCACTCAACGAGCCATACATTTACCGTAGTATCTCTGTATGTTTCTATATGTCCAGCATGGGTTTTTTGATTCCGAGCTATCAGAGCTGGGACTTACCTGGCATGGAAATCGTTAATGTGTATAATGGACAACGGAAATCGATCTGCGACGTCATTCGATTGTTGGCTAGCGCCAATGATAATTGCCATTGGCATTAGCATTACGATTATCATTCGATCCATGTTGATCGTTTCGTGTCACTTGTGGGGCCAAGGAGAGGGCTTGTTGACGGCCTAATCCGTGCGCTGGTCTTAATAGAACTGAATCGCGTTCGTTCGACCGTCGGTCTACATTCAGTTCAAATCGTTAGCCAAAATAAAACCTTCACAACTGGCAAAAATATATATATATATATTTCTAATATATAGTCGTTCTTGTATCAGTGACATATGGCTTTTACGTTTTCTGTGTATTTAGCCGCAGTCGACGCACTTGATTAACGGGGCCGTTTACGTGTATTGCATTTAAAAGCCCCTATAAGCTTGTATTTGTGTATAGAAAACAGGATTAGCCGCTTATTAATTAGATGCACAATAGATGTTCAAAGCGTGTTTTGCCTTAAAAAAAGTCACATTGCAAGGGCACAGTTTAAAAAATTTGAAAAGTTGATGCAGCGCGCCAAAATCATAAATTCAAATAACGGGTGAAATGACGTTTGTTCGATATGTTTGCTGTGCTCCTCACAAATTACATCAACAACGATAGTTGGGCGGTAAATTTAAACGGCACTATCGGTTGCTTGATATTTTGCGTATTCACAAAACAAAACAGTCCCGCCAAATTATTTTTAAGTCATGTCTATATGAATCAACCGTAGTAGGTAATCTTATTTTATTGAATTGGCATTCGTAACGCAAGGTAAATTTATTTTTAAATATGAAAGATTAGCGCCAAAATCAAAATATTTAAAAATTTTACTAATCGATTGTGCGCCGCGCACATTTGCTCATTTCAAAACTTTAACGATAGTTTACAACTTCATCGCCAATTGATACCCATACTGGATAGTGATTATCGACAAATTGAATTTATTGAATAAATTAATTTCTCATTAAGACTTTGATATATTTAAGACCTGATACAGAGTCACATATTTCAAAAATAGATGGTAGCTGAAATGAAAAATAACAGATATCATTTATATGTGATCAATATTTTAGGGTGCCCCAATTGATGCTATCGATATTCTAAGCTTAACGCGCCATACACATCACAAAGCGCTGTGCCTGTGCCTGTGCTGCCGCTGCAGCTGCGTTCAACACATAATTTTGTGCAAGGTTGGAGGCTTTTATTTAACTATTATTTTTGTGATTGTGTTGGGGTGCCAGAGCCAAAGCCATGATAACGATACTGCTGTGCATGCAATAAACAAAAAACGCGCATAGTAAACGCCCAGAAGCTGCAGTCGAAGGCAACTAAGAATAGAAAAAAGAAAGAAGAAAAAATTAAAATCGTAACCTAAACAAAGTGCAAACTGTATTTGGACGGTGTATTTTGGCATTCACAATGACACCATTTGATGATTTTGTCTACTTAATAAATCACGTGCTGCTTGGCGAAGAGCCGGTAAGTAGCAGCAGCAACAACAATAAACTAACCAACACAGTGGCGTTGCCAGACAAATTCAAAGAGGACTTTTAATTGATTTTCATTTTTATGCTCATATTTAGACCATTGAGGATTTCATATTGCTTGTGGGCACATTGGTGGCCTTCATAGCTTTTATACTGTGGTGTTGCTTTCCCATACAGCCAAAGGTAGGTAAAAATATACCCAAACGCGCCTTCAAACGCTGACACACACACACAAATAAACAAACACACACGCACACAAATAAACAAACACACACACACACACACACACTCGCAATCAAACATGTATGTATGTATGCATATGTATGAATATTAGGGGCCAGCTACTAATTAGATATCCATTTTCGGTAATAGGAACCGGGACAGCACCGCCAGTTTACGTGTAAAATTATACAGAATCACATAAAGGTATTCGATGCAGCAAGCAGAGTGGAGGACAACGGCACCACAACTGCAACAACAGCGGCTAGCAGTAATGGAAATAATGGAAGTAACGGCACAGCCGGCGGCGGCATCATTAATGGCGCTAGTCCTCACTACAATGGTGGCGGCAGCGGTAGTTACAGCAAAAACGGTACCGTGGCTATGCACAACTATTACGTTAAAAACGGCCACCACTGTTGCACCTAAACAGGACATAGAACTTAACCAGGCCCAAGGCACTGACCAAGTCACTTTTTTTTTATTATTTTTTTTTTGCGCTTTATGTAGTTTATAATATTTAAATCGATTAATTTTCATTAATGTTCTATATGCATATGTAAATATGTGTGTATATATATATATATGTCATTCAGAAGATTTATTGTGCCAATTGGTGGTTCGAAGCGCTCAGCTTAAAGCTAAAAGCTAAAGTAATGCGTCTTGAATATTGTTCCACACCCTCACGCCCAGCTCCCGCAACACCCTCGCCCTGCCCTGCAAAGAATTGTATTGATTGTAAACGTGTAATTCGCAAGGAACTTTATTTATGTATTTGTAATTGCTCAGACTGATTTGTTCATGGTAGAAATCAATTGCATTTTATGCCAATTAACCATGACGGCTAAGGAAAAGACATGTGAAAAGAGAAATGTTAAGTGTTTAAAAAGATAACTTATATATATATATGTATATATATATATTTGCATTCGAATACCAAATGAAAAACAAAAACAAAAGACAAAAAACAAACTATGTAAGACATGACGGTAAACAAGGAAACCAAGCAAACTATTTATAAGTATTTATTTATGTATGATGTATGATGTACGATGTACGATGTACATACAATGTATGATGTATGATGAAACGTAAAAAAACACCAACAATAACTAATTGTTAAATATCAATTACAATCGCTTACAACAAACACAATTCTGGAGTCGTTAGCTTTTTATGGAGTGCAGTGTAAGCGCAGCTACAGTGGCGGCCATTCAATTAGCACCAACTATCCCTACTGAAGCTGGCGACTATCAGTTACTGTAAGATATCAAATTTTGACTAGCATTGTTCTCATATTATGTTTCCATCACTTTCAACTCTCATTCAGCATTTGTAAGTTCATTTCTCTCAGTGTATACACTTGAGATGCATATGTATATGTACGTCTGTATATATATATATATTTGTGTTTTTTGATCTCAATTGTTAACTTGTTTATGTGATGAAACTTTTAAGAATTTCGCCAATCCGAAGGGTTATTAAACAAAAGAAAAGAGAAAAATCACCTTAAAATTGTTTTTTTTTTTTTAGTTTTATCAGCACAGTGAGCGTCTTAAGTATGCACGCACACTAATCAGTAAATCACACACGGCCCACTCGAGCAGCAACTCGAGTAGTTTTATTTCGTTGGTTTTTGATTTATATTTTAATTTATTTTATATTTTCATCATTACTTCTGGTTGCTATCTGAGCAAAATTGTTTAAAAATCACATTGCTTAGTATTTGTGTCGTTAGGTGTATTTGTAAATTAGTAACAATAGGTGTGTGTGTGGCTAACGGTAGATAGAGTCTACACATTCTAGAATATCAACAGTGATAATACCCTATGCATACAGTAGTAGTTTGTGTGTTAAGGAAGTCTAGCCGATGATTGGCCATAAATATCGCAGGGTACTTACGTAATCGTAAATTATAGCTTAGGCATACATATATCTACATATATAGCATTTGGTCTCTATCAAATCTAGCGCTTTTTTGGTACCAGTTCAGAATTTGTGACTATAACATAGGGATATTTTTGTTTTTTCCTTTCTTCTCTGTATATATAAATAGTGTTCAACAGGACAAGTACGTAACAATGAATTATTTTTACCTAAATAGTAGACAGTCTTAAGGAGTACCTAAGCTAGTAAAGCAAAAAAAATCAAAAAAAATCTGTTATAATACAAGCGTCTATATATATAACTATACGATGTAGCTGAAGTCGTAAATAATTGTGTGTTGGGCTGTACATCGAGTTTGCTTCGTTGTTCGTTTTCTGTTAGGTGGCAACCCTGACAACATTCAATCAACCAATGGCCAGGCAGCTTTAAAACTTCTCAATAAACCAATTAGAAATGCGACTATAAGCAAAATCGTATCCACTTAGTTTTGATGTCAGCCAAAAGCTCGCATGCATGCAACTCCAACTGGAAATGGAGGAGTTTTGTTGTTGTTGCTCTGACTAACTGCTACAGTCCAATGGGAAGAGCACATGCATCTCAATCAAAATTTGCAGCACAATAAATACTATATACACGCTAAATAGAGCAACGCCCACGCGTTTCGTTAGTCGATAGCCACTGCAGCTGAGTATGATGAACAGGCCAATGGTGCACAATATCAGGATCAGTATATTGTACTCGATGCCCTCGGTGCCCACCTGCTGCTTGATGCCGGTGCCATAGTTCATGCAGTTCTTCACAAACCAGGGCACGCCCAGCGACAACAAAATGGCTAACGAATTGGCGCCCAGCGAATTCGAGACACCAATGCCATTTTCACCTAAAAAAATCAAAATGGTAAAATTAGTTTCAGTTGGCCAAAGGTATCTTCATATTGGCTTACCATTTCGCAGTGAAATGAGACTGGAAACAGCTTCAGGCATTGTGGAGCCAGCGGCCAGGAAAGTGAGACCCATCACAATGGTGGGCACACGTATCGCAACACCAAATGCCGTTAACATCCAGACAATCATATAGGCATTGATGCCAATGCAAATGATGCACATGATGAAGGACAACGGGTACAGGCGACGATGCCGCATCGGATGTGGAATGCATACGCGCAGCACTAGTTTAATAGGGAACGTGAAGACCCACCAGCATTTCATGAAACGTGTTGCACTGTGCGGATACGCAAATATGCTTGTCGGCATTTGATCGTCTTCTTCATCCTCGCCATTCCCTGGAAAGATAGTGATGAAAGGACATGTTTAATTAATTACCTATCGAAAGCACTTCCGACTATCAGTTCGCCTATGAATTCAAATTCATTGCCCATCGATAACATTTTAAATTATCCATTTAGCATATGAACTCAATAACTTGACTATCGATGACACTCAAGAGTAGCAGCTTTGCATTTGTCGCACATATCTAAAAGCGCGAATTCCAAAATATCAAATTGCAACTAATCGCGTTTCATTTGTAACAAAATGAGGCTTAGTTTGAAAAGTGTGTCATTTGGATTACACTTACAATGCTTGGAGTGCGTCAAATTGGCTGTGGATGACATGGACGAGGTGTTTTCCGGAAAATTTACCACAAACAGACCATCTCCAGAGAGTGGATCCTTCTTTAAGGGCAGCTGTGCTTTGGCACTGTTCTCTGGCGGTTCCGTGAGATCTGTTAAAGGTTAATTAACACAACGTGTTAGTGAACTGTTTGTATTTTGTGATCGAAGCAAAGATCGACCAACCATAGCGCGTGGAGAAGCAGCAGTTCATGCGATCCTCGATGAAGACGCGTATGGCAGGCATAAACTTATTGTTGTTAAACGTAATCAAATAGTAGAGCAGCAGAAAGCCCATCATAACGCAGGATTCAACAAAGCTAATGCTGCCGCCCCAAGCGAGAACCAGCAAAACGATCGTGTTGAATAGATAGATGCAGCAATCCCGGGCTATGGGCCACCAATCCAGTTGCACTGGCTGCAAATGCAAATAGAAGGTACAGTGAAGACGCCCAGAGACATTAGCTAGCTGCTCACCTTATTAATGGCCAGCGCTGCAAGGCCAGCCACGCCGAGCGTATTGAACATCAGCGAACCAATTATGGTGCCCAATCCCATATCAGACTCCAATATCAACGTACTTATCGTATTCGTAAAGAACTCCGGCATGGATGTGGCTGTGGCCATAAACGTCGCAGCCGCCACATCTTTGGACAGATTCAGATCCTCGCAAATGCACTCGACAGTGGGCAGAAAGTAATCGTTGCATATGATGGCCAGCAATATGAAGAAATAGATCGCAGCGAACACGTGCAGAGCAACCCAGCCCTGACGCAGTTGATCCACTATTGAAAGGGAGAAAAATTACATGAGACATTTTAGAATTTCTATTTGATTATCATAACTTAGACATATCTGAAGCTGCGTACCAAATTTTAGGCATATAGCTCCAAGAGACTCTGAGTTCAGCCTAGATTAGTTTGAATACTAAGGAATATCCATGCCTTTTCTGTGAGCTATTGTCGTTTTAGGCACAACTGAAGCTGTCAAGTTCAAGTCAGAGTCTGCATGGCACAATTAAGATATATAATGCTTTGACGCATAATCTTTAACTTTACAGAGAATTCGACCATTCTATAAAATAATCAAATTCCTAATCTATTTTCGCCAGAGCTAGTAAGTATATTTGGTATCTAAGCAGGAACATATCAAAATTCGATGAATGCGCCGCTCATGATAGGCGAGATGATACCATCTACATATACTCTAGACTACAGGGCATACACAACTCTATTGGCATATTGTGGCGATAAAGAAACTGTTGCTATTTATTACATGGTAAGCAGAGTCATAGCTATAAGTATGCGTATCTGTCATGTTCCAAGTATTGTAGTTTAATTAAAGGTTTTCCGTGATAAGAAGCCCGATTTGAAGAGTGGCAAATGTATATAGATATAGATATATGTATATACGTGTGTGTTCATCGGAGATACGAGTCGAGAGTCGTATTGAGAGTGTCTGGAGTGGCGCTGATGCAGTTGGGCGAAACGAAGTAGTACTGCAACTGGTACTGGAACTGGAACTGGTTCGGCCACTGGACTCGATTCATACTTGTAGCAATACTTTGGCTGGTATCCCAGTGTAAACACATTTGGCTCGAATGATTTATTGGCCCATTGAACAGTGTCTCGCTTATCGGGGGCCTAGCACTCGACTTGGCCCTGGCCCAGTGATAAGGCCTGCCTGGCCAGGAAGACCATTGGGGCCACATGGTCAGCAAGTTCAAGTTTGTGTGTAGAGTGAGAGATAGAGAAAGAGGGGTGCAAAGAGTGGGATAGATAAAAGCAGGGAAAGGAAGAAAGATAATGAATTAGAGAGAGAGAGAGAGAGAGGGGAAAAGGGATAGAGGGAGGAAAAGAAAAAAAGTGGCAGAGAGATAGAGATAGAGCAAGCGAAAGAGAGGAAATTATAGTGAGAAAGAAGGAGAGAGTTGGAGAGAGAGAAAGAGTAAGAGAGACAGAGGGGCAGAGACAGCAATAGATAGAGAGAGGCACACAGAGCAAAATGTGGACTAAGAGAGACTGATCAACTCTCTTGCCTCTGTGGACCTCAATTCCATTCGGAACTTTTTGGGCTATTTGTTTATGGAACTGGATCAAGAACTTGAACTAACAGAGAAAGAGAGTGAGCATAGCACTGCTATGCGATTCGATTTGATTCGTCTCGCTTACCTGTAAATATATCGGGAAACTCGTCTAGTGGTGCATCTTCCTCATCGCCTGGGCACTTGCCACGCGGCAATATATCGTAGAGCAGCTGTTCATCCAAATATCTCAGCGATGTTTCCAAGAAACTGGTTTCATTATTTACTGAAAGCGAAAGGTGAAAGTGGAATATTAGACTAAATTATAAATCATTGTTAATATGATGTGAATTGTCGATTATAATGGACCTAGATATATCTGTAGATATATATATATATATATATATATATATATATATATGTATCTGTTAGACAGACAATAGATAAGAGCTTTAAACTGTGATAAGATTGAAACTGCAACCCTGAAAATCAGAAATGCACAATTACAAAACTAACGAGCAAGGCGACTGGCAGGTTGCACAGTGGTGTATGCGACTCACAGATACCCTATAGTGACCTTGATATATGTGAAGTTATAAAGTTTTTTGCAGCAATTCATAAATTTACTAACTCCATATAATTTCTTAAGTACAGTTCATATGAACTGGCTCATGAGCCATAGCTTTAGGCGCGGTGCTTAGTTTAGCGTATTTTGCTGCTTTCAAATTTCTATAGATAACATTGATCTATGTATATAATATATATCTTTTATGTGTGTAACTGAGACTAGAGTCTTTCGCTTTCAGATACATTCTTGATCTTTAAGCGAATGCAACGATAAGTGAGCATGGGACAAATCATGACGCCTATCAGATACACATATTGAATGGGGCCATGTCTAAATATATATATATTTGATAGCTATAAATATAACTAGAATCTAACTCTTATCCACAGAGACAGCTTAGAGTGACAATGGAGGAGAGCAGCTTGTACAAAAGTACTTTATGCATGGCTCAGGTATAGATATATTTATATATTATAGACATGCATAACAGACAAAGAGTGAACCTAGCTCAGATTATTCGCCTCTAAAAGTATAAGTGACCATGGAGGCGCTATGATTTGCTGGATTCACCCGCATAGGAAAACAATATTTCAAATAAAAATTTTTTCACGAGCCCGGCACGTTTTTTGCTACTTTTTTTTTTGCAGCTACAAAGCTATTAGCTATGTTCTAACTGCGCTCGTTAACTGACTTTAATTGTTTCTCACGCAAAAAAAAAAAAATAGAAAAAAAATTCCTGAAATCGTGAGCAGATAAAGAATTATATAGCCCAGCAATTAGATGCCAGATGTCAGATGTTTATTGCTTAAAACAAATCAAACGAAACTGAACATCAAATTAAAGCAAAACTTCAAACTTGTAGAGGAGTAAGGATTGGGCTTATAACACTCTCTCTCTCTCTCTCTCTCTCTCTCTTTCTGATTACTTTCTGTTTGATGTGGCATTTGACTTGTCATCCAGAAATAATCCGTAGACTCATTGCATTAGGGCTTTGTTTTGTTTTCCTTTGGCATATCTTTTACGGTGCCTGATTAAGTTCTTATGGTTGGTCATAATTTGTCTTAACTAATGCCATATAACGATGTCTGCCGTTATATATGATATGTATATATCTAGTTATTATTCCACAGAAGTACTCAACAATTAGCCGCACTGTCTGATGGGCTTTTTCGCTCTTATCAGCCAAGCAAAACAAACCCAAACTGTTCGCCGCAATACAAAGTGATTCATCTGCCTGCCATATACCCTGTAGTCATATTTTTCTTATCACGAATTGGATATCAAAAGTTGTGTTGCTTTTGAGTGGCTTTTGAACAATCTCAAGACTAAATACCAACGACTTTCAAATGGGGTATATCGATTCGTCAACCTCTGCTAGCCTAACAATATTCAACTAAATACAGGGTATCATGAAAGGCTGCAGAATATTTAAGAGGCATACGAAAAATATTAAAAGAAAATTATTTTAAAAAAACAGAGTATCTGCTAGTTTATCAGTCCAATATCATATTAAATATAGGGTATCTGCTAGATAAGCATTTCAAATTTCAGGCATAGAGAAGACATATATCGAAATAAATACATTTGTACAGGGTATCTAACAGTACACAAAACTTAGATACTAATGAATATTTAAGATATATGGTAAATAATATGTTTGTACTTCTCAATCCCATAAAACACACTATCTACAGGGTATCTGTTGGTAGATCACTCTAATGTCATGTTCAAAATTTAGATACTACTAAATATTTCAAACAGTCAGAACTAATAATTCAAAAAAATCTTTTTAATTAACATTAATAACAAGCTACTCTTTTTTACAGGGTATTTGGTAGTCTATCACAGTCTATCATTAGCTTATACTAAATATTTGAGAGTAAAAAGTTTAATTAAAAACAAAATTTTTTTTGTTTTGTCTTATTAGAAAACCTTGCTGCATTCACAGGGTATCTACAAGTCGCGCACGCTCGACCAATTAAATATTTGGAATGTGCGCTAGGTGAACTTTTTCGCATTGAAATTCTTGAAGCACGTGCGACACGCTCGGCCAGAGCTTTGTTTATGCTGAGATTCTATGTGTGTATATCGTAAATATATATCGTATATATATATATATATATCGTATATATTGTTACGATCTGTGTGTAGTCTGCATTGCATGTCGCTTGCAGCTGGGCGTTAATGAAACAATGAGAGAGAAACAAATGCCACAGCAGCAATCAAAACATAATTCTCTAATTAGATAAACTTAACGCTAACAAAGAAGCGAAAATACTCGCGGAACGACGTATAGCATACCCTGTAAATGCGCGAAAACTTTGCTCGAGCAAAGATTGAAATAAATAAACTAAGCTAAGCTGACTTTATTTAAAGAATTTTGAATAGAACTTTAATATATGTGTATATGGTACAGGGTATTGCCAGAGCCGACTTCGTTATATACATTTATCGATTATCGATAACAAAGAAAATACTTTGATATGGGCACAGGCCTAATATTAGCTAAGAATGCTGAAAATAATTTTATTTTCTAAAACTCAGTCAGCACTAATATACCCGCTTGCATGACTAACACATTGGCGTCGAATGCAATGTGTGATATGTGAGATGCGATTATATATATGTATATGCATACATAAATACATCTGAGAGTTGGCAGCTAAAGCATCTAAACAAGTTTATTGAACCTGTTGACAGGTGTCGAGGTGTGGCGTTTGCATTGCATTGGCTTTGGCTTTCGCTATGGCTATGCTCGAGAGAGAAATACCCAAATGGCTAATGTATGAAAATCCCAGCATGTCCCTTGGAAAAGTTGCGGGAATACCCCTAATCCTCACCCGCAATCGATCATCGTAATCATCACAATGCAAAGTGCATTTTGTTCAGTTAATAACATTTTTTCTCTTTTAATTGTTAATTTGTTTTGTTTGTGCTTCTTCTTCTTCTTCTTTTGCTTCTTCTTCTAAATACTACTACTTAATTGGCAGCTTGTTCAGCCGATCGTTCAATGCAAATCAATTCATCGTTTCCCAAGCTCAAAAATGCTAAATGCTGTTTACATCTTGTTAATTGTTGATAAAATAAACAAATGCGATTGCTCCACACTGGTCAGCGGAAATTAAATGGAACTGAAAGGTGTCAACAAGTGGAATCGAAGTATTCGAATGAATGAAAAGTGATGTGGAATGAACTGAATATTGCATGGAAATGGAACGTCGGAATCGAAACACTAAAAATTAAACATATCAAGGGAACATGAAAATGAAAAGTCCAGCATGTGATGTGGAATGAACTCCAACTATGACTGACATTGCATGGAAATGGAACATCGGAATCGAAACACTAAAAATTAAACATATCTAGGGAAAGGGAAGAGTCTAGCGAGTGATATGGAATGAACTGAAACTACGACTGACATCGCATGGAGATGGAACGTCGGAATCGAAACACTAAAAATTAACCATATCTAGGGAAAATGAAAAGTCCAGCATGTGATGTGGAATGAACTACAACTATGACTGACATTGCATGGAAATGGAACGTCGGAATCGAAACACTAAAAATTAAACATATCTAGGGAAAATGAAGAGTCTGGCGAGTGATGTGGAATGAACTGAAACTACGACTGACATTCCATGGAAGTGGAACGTCGGAATCGAAACACTAAAAATTAAACAATTCATAAGAAAACGAAGAGTCTAGCGAGTGATGTGGAAAGAATCAGAACTAGTTACTGTTATTGTATGGAAATGGAACACTGGAATTGAAACACTAAAAATTAAGTGAATGATGTTGAATGAAATATGAAATATTGACTACGGCAGTTTCGACATGGACTGCTGAAAATGAAACACTATAAAAAGGAAATGAAAGTAAGCACAAATTAAATGAGATGCATAAGAAAATTGCAATTAACTGGCAAGAGAATGTCGTAAATTGAAACACTACAAAAAATATGTTTAAAAAGTGAATGTGAAAATTAAATAGAATTACTAGCTTATAGAAAATGAAATTATATGAAACAGAAACAGTTGTGACACTTGAGCTTATTAACTAAAAATGGAAATATAGTATATATGTCTCTCTATATATTGATTGATTTATATTCTTCTCATGTCACATATTTCAATATTTTTAATTTTTATAAAATTAAATGAAGTCGTAAAAAAAGTTGAAAAGAAAATTGAGTTTTCCCCAAAATTAAAAATGTGAAATATGTGACATAAGTAGAATAAAAATCAATCAATGGGATAAATTAATTAGATAAGTAATATGTAATGTTTCTGTAGGGCAGTGTACCCATCAAAGGTGAGCGCCGTCATCTCGCGCTCTTTTGTTTGACTGTTTATTCGTCAAATACCGTGAGTTGCCGCAGCGCCGATCTATGTCAGCTGGCAACAGCAGCAGCAACAGCAACAACAATAATACTAATAATTAATAGCAATTACAACAATATTTATAATAATTGAAAATAGTAAATAAATATCTAATTGTAAGAATGTGTCCGATTGGCCAATGCCCTGTAAGCTGAGCTTGAATATATTAGGTTGAATTTGTTTGTATTTATTCATACATATGACTAGGTTATACCCTGTAAATATTTTGCAGACTAGCTTATGCTGTATAAACAATAGCTGCGGCTATCCTGCTTTAGTCACATTTACAGGGTATCTTTAGCAGCAGTTGAAGCTGTAGCTATTAGAAGCGTACCATAGAAAGCTAATTAGATGCCGAATGTCTAACATATACACATAGTTCAAATATTCCAGCTAAATGGAATCGTAATCAGAATCGGAATTCGAATTGGAATTTGAATCCGAATTGGGAATTCGAAAATGGGAATAACCGAACGGCTTCCAATGAATCCTATTGAAAAGCAAACTATTTATAGAGCCGGGATCAATGCCAGTGATTCAAACCAGAACGGGAATCACCCTGCCATATATCTGATATGTACTACCTACAGCTATCTGTCTGTCTGTCTATAGACCATACAATTGCTTATGCTGAAGTGGCGCTGGCTAAAGTACAAAGTGAAAAAAAAACGCTTGTCATATGACGTTCGTGTTATAAACACGCGGGCATCTCTTGACTGTGTTTATGCAACAATTATGAATGGGTGGCAACGCCACGTAATAAAATCCCCCACCCTTGCGCAAAACAATTAAGAGCACACACAGTTGAGTCCTAGCCGCAGCGCGATGCTCGCTCGCCGATCACTTTAAGAAAGTAGATTTGCTTTATACATATATGCAATATATATATCTTATAGATATTCGTCATTCACACTTCCGGCCCATCGCTGGCTTGACTAAGCTAATATGCCCGCCTTCCAGCCATCTAAGCGAGTATTACTAATCGATAATTGCAGCACGAGTGTTCTTAAGCGGTTTACGCTGTTCAAGTACTATATAAATTTCTAGTGAACATCATAGATATACGTATATATATATATATATATCTGCGTAAGTGCTCGATCCTATCTTGTTTATTGTACTTTTTTTTGACAACGCGTTTCTTCTCTTTCAGTGGGATGCGTTATTTTATGGCTGCAATTAGTAGTTCCTGGAACTTAAGGGATTCTCGTGAATTGCGGTAAGATAGATTCTGTACTCCACTTGGCCACAGCTAACTTTTTGGCATGCTGTCTATATAGTACTAGAGTTCTACTGCAAGAGTTATACTCAATCAATTATCAGAATAACAATAGCAATCGCATCGTCACAAATCAAATTGTTTGTGCAATGAGCCACGATCAAATCGAAGTATTTCTAAATCTATTCTGATCGAATCTAATCGATTTTCTTTGAATATGTTATCGATAAAGGGTATTGAACGTGTTCTATGTGCGCTCTATACAAGGTTCTAATTCTATTTGTGCTACTATAGAGTCTATAGAAGACTACACATCTAAACATATAGAGCTAGTTTAGCTATATTTTTCGCAATATTCCCTCAATTCTCAGGCGCTACTTGCCTGCCCTTCGTCCTCTTTTCTTTTAATGTATGCCACATCTTCCTCTTCCTGATTAAATTAAGGTTTGAGGCACTGCGCTTCGCTTTGGCATAGCTCCAAAATTATAAGAGCTAGAGGCTTTGAGTAAACGCAACGATTCTATATTTTCTATTTTCTCCAGTGAACTAGTTCAATTGTTCTTCAGGCCTTACTAGTCAGGGCTGCAGCATTAGCCAAGCTTTAAGCAGGGCCCATGAGGTTTTTAGTGTTATCAGATCAATGGAAGCTCCCCCACGAGTTATCAAAAAAAAATCCGTTTTTTCCATTCTTTTTTTTTTTATCAGTTAAACAACTGTCAGCTAATCGCATCGATCAAATGATTGACACTATATATATAGTGTATATGTGAGTCAGTGCGACGTGTGATTCCTTTATCAGCTGATGGATCGCAGATGCTTCATCAATGCTGCTTACAGCTGCAGCAGTTCTCAGCTGAACTTGCCCCACGTACAGCAGCATTAAGATGTAAATATATATTTATTATATATACATATATATATCTATACGTATTTATGATTGTGTCAATCTTTCAATCTTAGCGAGCTGTTATCAAGCACGCTGATAGCCCCCATCCAAAAAGGTTTTTCCTGTGTGCTCGACAACAGCTGCTTATTTACCTAGTATGCGGAAAGCATACTCGCTCACGAAATGAAAAGAGCATATAGGCTGTGTACCAGACGCTCATCTATGGAAGCCAGAACTTGCGATTTGGAACCTATACGCAACGTTCAGAGCAGCTGAAGATCTGAAATATATATCTATGCCCATTTTGTGGGCAATGCGTCTAAAACTGTATGTTGGACTCGTTTATTGATTTATCTCAAACTTTATATGTCTATTAGTCTAGCAGTCACTCCAGACTCAATCTTAAGATTTACGATAAATTATTGAATTGTTTTTTTTTTTTTTTTTTTTTTTTTTTGTATCTTGAACGAGTGTTTTGCAGTAAGTCAAGCCCGACAGCAAACCTTTCACTTGTTTTTTTTTCTGTGCTGGATTCATGGATCTTACGTATTTTGTTTTCGGCTCGGACAGCTGTCCACAAAAAGGGAGGAGCTGTCAAATATTCTTTTAATAGAGCTATCTATTGAATTGATTATGGCGAACCAGTTCAGCTCACAGATTCAGACATTTGAACTAGCCAACCAACCATTTGTATATCAATTATAATTTATGCCAAAATCAGTTGCCAGATACAACTTATCGGGCCTGGAACTTAATAGAATAATTAGACGATCGATCAAGTTGTTGAGGCTATGGGGGCAAAATGGGAAGTTTTATTATTTAATAGTGGGCCGAAAACCCAGGGTTATGAATCAATCAGTTTAGATGGATAGACAGATTTGCTTTGGATCTGGCTTAGCTCTTCTTTACGTTGGCATCTAAAATTTGTCGTTGTCATTTAGGTCTCACCCACTGTCGACAAGGCAAGTCGGCAATGCCAGTTGGTATGGGCAGAATTTTAATTTTGGAATTCCTGGAATCGATTTTTTTGTGGATCGATATTATGTAAATGTTAGCTGTTATCGAAAAATTTATGTAAGTACTTCGGCTTAATTTAGACAGGAATATACATACATATATATATTTGAATATGTATTTTAGGTTCATCGATTCAGTTTCGTATGATAATCAGGCATATTTGTATTTACCAAATATATATATTTAGATATATAACACATATTATATATAAGCTGCTGCCTGCCTCCTTTTTCTACCCATATTATTAAGCGTTGGCATTTATCATAAATAAATCGTATTTTATAGGCTTTAAACTGAACTGAACAACACGGGGAATCCGTATAGTCGCTGCACAGCTCGTTTGCCACACAGGGCATATTGGTTGCATGGCCAATAAGTATATGCAACAAAGAACTTTAGAATGATTAGAATTTTCCTTGAAACATAAGTTCCAACAACATTGTCGATAAATATTGATTTTGACTTAAGCTTTACAGAATTTGCTGTTTTTTTTTTCAAACTCCTGGATTTTTAGTTAGCTCTGACCGGCTAGGGTATCGACTAGTTGAGCAGCATGACATTCATTTTTTCTTTAATTGTCTTTGATCAAATTTCATTGAAGGTTTCGGAGATATCTGTGCAATTGTCAGACGTATGATAAATTTCTTTACTTTTTTTCGATTTTTTCTAATGGATCGAAAACTGACGAAAAGAATTCGGTCTATTTACTCACCTGTGGCTTGTGTATCCGTTATGCTGCTGGCAATTAGTATGAGAACGCCAAGCAAGAGGCGCGCGTTTTTCAACATGATACGATCAAAAACAATTAGGTAAAAAAAAGCAACTTTAACAAAAAAAATAAACTTTGGTTTTTTTTGGTTTTGATTTTTGGGCAAAAAAAGGTATTTTCGTTTAGAAATTATAACAAACAGCAACACGTGCCACACGTGCGCCTCGAATATATATAAATTTTATTACAAATTTGTATATATTTAAAAAAATTTGTTTTCTTTTGTTTTTGTGCTTTTTTCCCTCCTTCGTTGCTACACTCACGGCGTATGCGCAACGCGACTTAATTCGTTTGCTTTTACGTTAACGTTCACGTTTACGTTTGTTACGTTTGTTTGCGCGTTTTCGTTTTCGTGTTCGAATTTGAAACTTCGAATTTGTTGTTCGAACGGCGCAGCTTTTTTCATTTAATTGAACTTCGAATCCTGGTAACGGTTGATTTTTTTCTTTTGGTTTTTGTTTTGATTTTGTGCTTGTTTTCTTGTGGCTGCTGCTGCTTCTTCGACTTCTTGTTTCGCTGTCTCTTTGCGCTGGCTGACGGCTTCGTCAACCGCTTGGCTTGAATTATGGCGCACAACTAATTAAGTGCGACCAGCGCGCGCGCGTCTTAATAATAAACAGCGCCGCCAGCGTCGCAGTCGCCGTCGCTGCCGCTGTCAAAGTCTCGACGTTGTTGAGCGCTGCTGCTAGCGTTAACAGCTGTCTGAGGCAAAAGCCGTTATTGGTTATATTTTTGCGTTCTTGTTGTTTTTGTTATTGTCGCTGCTTCGGCTGCTGTTGTTGTTGTTATTGTATTTTAAAGAGTTTATCACTGCCTGGCGTGCAGTCAAGTCTCCAACACTTGAAAACATTTTCGTTTTCCGTTTTGCGTTCATTTGATACCCTAAAGATTCATTGAAAATGCCAAATCACTTTGACTTAGGGCATATGCGCGTAACAGACAAGCGTCTGTCCATAGCATATACATATGTATGTAGGATATCTCTATAATTACAAAAGCTTTACAAAATTTGATGTCTATTACCCGAACCGACTAGATAGGACTTTTATTTTTTTTTTTAAATTTTTTATCGATAATATTTGCGAAATATGTAGATTGTTAAATAAACATATTCATATATTTATAAAAAAAAGTACTGGATTTTGGTGCAGGGACACAGATCACAGATAAAATAGAGCGTTAAAAATCCAACAATGAATATCGAAGTTATTCAAGCACACATTTTCCATAATTTGGAACTTCGGATGTGTCGCTGCATAAGCAGCGATCACTTAGCTTAGAATATCTATTAGTCGGCTACACACAACTATACTTTCTTTGATTTTCGATTATTATTAATTCTTTGATTTTCTTTGATTGCGTTGCGCAGGTGCTCAATGCTGTGCGTGTGTGTGTGTGTATCTGTTGCTGCTTATTGATACCAATTGTCGCATTATGCTGTTTATAACCTGTAGGCTTCAGCAAGCGGAAGTCTTGGGTAGTACAAACTAGCTGACTTAGGTCAACGAATATAAGTGAATTTGACTGTTAGTGGCTCTAAAATCGATAAGCTGACAATTGATCGATAAGTGATAAGCCTGATTAGAGAACAAATTGGTCAAAGAGCAAAAAAAGTTTGTCTAAGCTTATGCTCTGAGCTTTGCAGGGTATTTGCTAGTCATGCCATCTAAACAGCGAGTCTGTAGCACTCAGTAGCACACACGCATACACACATAGACATGTATTAGTATCATAGAGAGCAGAGCTTGTAACGAGTACTCATTATGGACGTTACCGTTCTGATAAGAGCAAAAAATTAAAAAAAAGAAAAGAAAAATAATAAAAAAACTATAATTACAATGCAATGTTTATCAATCTATTACTGTCCAGCTCTCCAGCTCATTTGTATGCGAGTGTGTGTGAGTGTGTATTTGGTGTAATCAATTGAAAGACTTTGGGTATTTTCATACTTAACTGGAAAGATCGTCTAAAAACTATTTATAGGATTCACGTGCGACGTTTGATCAGTGATCGGCGCTGAGAGTATGTCGCTGATCAGTTGTGATCAGCTGATTGACCGACTGGCTACTACCTGCAATAGTTTCACTTTCATCTATGCATTCATAAATATATTAGATCAACATGCATTTAGCGATCCTGAGCAACAAAGCGATCGCTAAATCGCTAGATCGTTCAAACAATTCTTCATTAATTACTTTTTTGTGTTGTACTTCCCTCTGCTTAGGGCTAAGTTCAAAATGAGCTTTTACCATACGTAATGCCAGCCACGATCGCAGTGAGCGTCACTCAAATGTGCTGCATCAGTGTCGATACTTAACTCTCTATATATAGTAACATATACATATATATATATATCCGATTTGTCGCGGGGAGTTAACTTTATTTCCCTTAAATTAAAAATTGGGGAAAATATTTATTAAACATTTGCTCAATACCTAATTGACAAAAGAATCTTATCTACACTTGTGCATAGCGAGATATAGTTATATATATGATACTTCTAGCGGGTACTACCTGGCTTTGCCAGTTGACTCATGCTGTTATTCTCCTTTGCTATAGCCCTATAACACTCATTCCTATATTATAGTATCCCCATCTAAAGTACTTTATTGAAAATCTCATTTCATTTGCGATTTCTCTAAGCTTTCGAAAGTTGTTTTCAGCAATGTCAATCAATATATATTTATTTCCGTTGTCAATCAAATATCTATATTTTTGAAATATTTTTTTTTTCTTAATTTTTCATAGTTAAAAAATTCCTTTTCACTTTTTGCAAAATAAAATTTTTCATATATAATAATTTTAATTACTTTTATTTAATATGGTTATTCACATAATTCATTATTTGATATTTATTTATTTTGCTATTGTTGAACAGCGTTTTTATCTGTAGACTTCTAACTCATTAAATGCTGAGCAACACACAATAGCTTAAAAGAAAAAATATTTAAAAATATTTATTTATTGAATTTTATATTAGATGGCATATTATACTATACCTAATATAATAATAATTTATTTCTAACTTTTACACGTGTTCCCTTTTTATAGTTATTTTGTGTTTCTGTTAATCACGAGTGTTATTTCAATAGCCTGTTCTTTGTACTTCGGAAGGAGGAAAAAAAAGAGAGATGAGAGAGGGAGAGAGAAAGGAAGCCAAGGAAGACGCGAGGCGGGGCGAGAGAAAAACGAAAGAGAAAAAGGGGCAAGAGCAGAGCAGAGCAGCAGAGCCGCAGTATCAGCAGAGCAGCAGAGCAGCAAGAGCAGCTAGGAGCAGCAGAGGATGCGAGCAGCATAGCAGCTAGAGAGCCAGAGAGCATAGCCGAGACGCAGCAGAGCAGCAAGGCAGCATAGCAGCAGAGCAGCCGAGGCAGCAGCGCAAGCAGCAGTGAAGCAGGCAGAGAGCAAGAGGCAGCAGAGGCAGCAGGCAGCAGAGCAGCAGCAGAGCAGAGCAGCAGAGCTAGGCAGAGCAGCAGTAGCAGGCAGAGCAGCAGAGCAGGCATATCATCATATCATCATATCATCATATCAATCATAATCATCATCTATCATTCATCATATCATCATATCATCATATCATCATATCATCATATCATCATATCATCATAGCATCATATCATCATATCATCATATCATCATATCATCATACTCATCATATCATCATATCATCATATCATCATATCATCATATCATCATATCATCATATCATCATATCATCATATCATCATATCATCATATCATCATATGCATCATATTCATCGATATCAGCATATCATCATATCATCATAATCATCATATCATCATATCATCATATCATCATATCAATCATATATCATATCATCATATCATCATATCATCATATCATCATAATCATCATATCATCAATATCATCATATCATCATATCATCATATCATCATATCATCATAATCATCATATCAGTCATATCATCATATCATCATATCATCATATCATCAATTCATCATATCATCATATCATCATATCATCATATCAATACATCATATCATCATATCATCATATCATCATATCATCATATCATCATATCATCATATCATATCATCATATCAACAGATTTCAGAGTTCTATGGCTTTGAGCTTAGTATCCAAACTCTGCATGAAAATCAGATGAAAATCTTGAGATTAAAGCGGCGCAGCAGGCGAAGGCAATTGCGAATTGATGGAATACCCTATGCGGTTAGTTTGTTATGTGGAATGTGTTTATTTTTATATATTTTTTATCATATCTGAGAGATTAGCGAACAATCAAATCGGGCGTGCTTCCAACCCATTGATTAACATTTTACTTTTGTTTTCTATAATACAAAAGTCTTTCGATTTTCGATTGTTGCCTTCTTTCTCGATGGACGTCATACTTTTGCAGGCTTGCGGCATAGACGTCATATTTTTGCGAAAACAATGGCGTATTCGTTGTCGACCACTCCGGGTCATATATCATTAGCATTATAAGCTCCCCCAAAGAGCCATATAATAGAAACTCTGAATGTTTATAGGCATATAATGCTGGTAGACAGTTTAAGTGCCGGACTTAACACAGGCAGATGTCTGGCTGTTAATCGTTAGTGATAGATATGTCCATCAAATATTCTATTCTATAACGGCGTTTCCTTTAACTTCAGTCTGATGTGAAGGCTAAAAATTGATTTAGTCAAAAAACCATCTAGAGCCCAGACAAGTAGCAAGTAGACCAGTATAAAGTCATATTGTTTAGGCTATGCGCTTATTGTCAACAAATGTGGCGATCAATTAGTCAATCCATCAGTTCATCAGTTTATTAGTTGATCAATCATTCAAGCGATCAGTCAATTAATTATTGAAACCTTCAATCAGTGAGGCAATCAATAGGGCAATCAGTTCATCAATTGTCCATTCAATTGGTCAGTCTATCAATCATTTAGCAGATTAGTTAGTGCATCGCTCAATCATTCAGTCTTTCATTATAACAATCAATCATTTAGCGTCCTTCAATCAGTCAGTTGTACAATCGCTCTTTCAGTTAGACCTTCACTCATTCAATCAGCCAATCAGCCTACGTATCACTTAGTCTATTCATCAGTTTATTAATCACCTCATCCATCAACAGTCAACCTAGCAGTCAGTCAGTCAGTCGTCAATCTAGCAGTCAATCATTTAGTCACTCAGTCAGTCAGTCAGTCAACCAGTTAGTTAGGCTATCAATCAATCTATCAATAGGTTCATCACTGTCACTAGTCAATCATTCAATCATACAATCAATGAATCAGTCACTCAAGCAGCTCAACAGTCTATAACTTTGTGAATCTATCAGTAATCGACCTATCAAAGAGTCAATAAGCCAGTCAGACGATGAGTCAATCAGCGTCAGGACAAACTAATAATAAACTAATAAGCACATACATATCTCTATCTATTCATGATGGCATGATTGATAGAATCCAATTTCGCTGTGCTGTAGACTATATACAGTTCGTTAGATAGATGAGACTCAGGTACTCCAAAAGTTATATATTATTAGCTCAGGCAATTATAACAATTCAGATTTATGCCCAGATTGACTCCTTCTATAATGAAAAGAAGTTAATTTATTGGTAATTTTTAATCAGGGCCCCATTTGAAGAAAGTCAACACGCAAAAGTAAGGCCCGTAGGCATTGGTTGCTTGGCTGATTGGTTCTCCCGTTGATAAGATTCCAACATGCCCATCGGCCCCCATCCACCTACACAAACCCAAATTCATTCTGACTAGTTAAGACTGATCTTAATTTAGCTGAATCGATTATAATAAATCTACTACATACATACATCATATATATAAGACCATATTATAATCTGAAGTACACCAAGGGGGTATAGGTTTAATTAGTCTTTGGCCTGCTTTTCCACTGGTACCAAATTTTGATACTCTGTAAAATAGATAAGTTTTTTGAATGCCAGTAGTTAGGATATATCTGCCGTGGCATGGATTCTGATAGTCATAGGTCAACTCATAGTAAGCCGATTGGGCAGTCCAACTTGGATATGTGATGACATAATCTAGCCTATCTGATTGATAATCCCATAGGACAGCTATATGTACCATGATATATGATGACATAATCTAGCCTATCTGATTGATAATCCCATAAGACAGCTAGATATAACATATATATCTTAATGCACATTTTAAACAGACCTTAGTCTTCTATAAATTCTAAAATATCGATAAATATCGATTCACGCAACTCAAGTCTGGCATATAGACTCCCTTATAACATATTTTACACAGGGTATCTACAGTCCAGAACACCTTTCGCTGTGTTCCTGGCTATCGAGCAGAACTTGACATTGTAAATGGGCTACCATCGAGATTAGTGAAACGGTTTAGAGGACTTGACTTCAATCAGCACCCACACAAAACTCTCAAATGACGATTATAGTTACGAGTTTGGCCATAAAGCAGTGTGAATTAATGCTTATCGGCAGATTCGACAAATTTGGCTGCCATATACGCGCAGCTAATACCCTGCAAGTGTGGCAAATGATAAAAACATCATCTATAGATATGATAGGACACGTGTTGAGATTCAGCTGAGGAATTTCTCTAAAGGTATTTCTCAAAGAACTCGAATTGCTGAGTGAAATCTAAAACGGAACCTTTCAAATACTCCCAGCCATATCTATATCTATATCATATATGTATATATATATATAAATAAGCCTGGAGTATCTGTATCTGTAACTGCTTTGGTTTTCAAATGTTGCCTCTTATCAATAATATAAATTATAAACTCGACTACAGAGCTGTGCACTTATCTTCAGATTTATGTGCGCACACGCACATACGAATACATATATAGAGAGTATAAATGTGCTTAGTACATACTTAGTGCTAGTGTATATGTATTTGACAATGACAATTCGAGTAGCTGTCTTGATGTCATAACAGCGACTCGAATTGACGTCATCGTTGCCCCGCAGACGCCTGCACATTCAGTTCCACACGCCTCTAGATGCGTCAATCCAAGTATATATATATATATATATATATATATATATATATATATATATATATATATATATATATATATATATATATATATATATATATATATATATATATATGTATGTGTATGTGTATGTGTCCTATATATACATGTATATAATTTTACAATATGGCGTACAATGCGCACAACACAACAACAACAAAGCGTAGAAGGAAATTAATCTAAATTTCAAGTGAAAAATATTTTTTTTTTTTTTTGGGAAGTACTCGACGGGCAGATACGCTTTAATCATTTTCTATGTTCATTTCGTAGTTTTTCGAAGCGAAATCAAGTCAGCACTTGCGTAAATTCTGAATTTTATTATTTCATTTATATTCGAAAAGATAAAGTTCCCACATCACTTGATCAAGTGATAGTAATTCGAAGTTCAGAAATGGTCAATTCGTATGGCAGCTCGTGGTAGAGATCTAATCGCAGAGCTTGCGAAGATCGAGCTGTATTGTAAGTTCGAAAACTATCAAATTTGAAATCAAGTCCAAATTTGTATAGCTTCTAATAAAATGCCTGAGGCACATAGATAGAAGTACAAGTTGGAGTAGGCATAGTTTGAGCGTCATTCGAAAATTATAAATGAACGTTTTCGAAGTAGTTTAGATGAAATTCAGTAATGGGCAAATAGGTTTGATATATAATTATATCTAAAATGAAGTCGAGTTAGATCTTAGAGGCCTGGAATCTGGCAAGTGAGCAGAGAGAGAGAGAGAGAGACAGATAGATAAAATTTGGAATGTATTTAATGATATCAAGTGCGAAAATGTCAACTTAGAATTCTAATTCTAGGTATAGAACGAATAATGACCGCTTTCGATATCGCACGTAGGCTTTAATACCATCAGCTCCATGGCGATAGCGAAAGTAAAGAACGCCAAATAACTAACTAGGCAAATCCAGCCAACAATTTTGCCAAGCACAAACTTGGTGCCCAGCAGACTGAAGTAGACGACTGCACCGGTTATGATCAAAACGCCAGTAGTTTTGGCTAGCCCATCTGAATTAATATCGATTTTTTTGGAATCGATCGCAATGGCTATCATCCAGGGCAAGCCCATGCAAAGGAAGACGTCAAAGGTGTTTGATCCGATTGCATTGCACATTGCCATTGAGCCATACCCTACACGAATGAGAACCGAAGGAATAGCCATTTATAAAGATATGGATAGTGAGTTTAGAAGGCTCTAGTCGGCAGTGTCCGACTAGCAGATACCCTGAAGCTATTGCAATCATGCCACGATTCTTTCACACATGCAGACACAGAGACTGCGCTTGAGCGAACAGAAGTATTATGAAAGATTCACCTTTTCGGACAACAATAAAGGAGGAGACAGCCTCGGGAACGCTAGTGCCGAACGCCAGCACGGTGAGTCCCATTATGGAGTCGGGTATGCCAATGTTGTAGCCAATAATAGTGAGTGTCCAGGTAACGAGATACGACAAAATGCTAATCCAGACTACTGCCATTATCAAGGTGAGAAAAAATATCGATCGCACACTCGGCGTTGTTATTGCCAACAACACTACAGCTGGATATTTGATAGCAAACCATATCTTAGAGCAGGTGTTATTTTCCTTAGTTGGGAATCCACAAACGGTTTCCTTGAACGATTTCATCGCATCTTCCTTGCGATCCAAGGGATTCTCCTGCAGTGCACCCTCAGCGAAGTCCCGAGCTGCAAATGCATGTAGCCAACATTAAAAGCATATATGAATATATTATAAACGATTTACTCCGACAAACTTTCTGTATTTTTCCATCAAATATTAATCCAATTAAATATATAAAGTATAATACGACCAAAATAATAGCCTCATAAAGCTCCACTTGACTGTCGAACAATATTCCAAAAAGCGCACATATCGATAGCAAATACCAGAAGCAATCTCGTGTTACCGGCCACCAGTCCAATTTCGTGTACTGCGGGAGCGAAAGAGACGGCGCGTAAATGGAGGAGAGACAAGGACGTCAGCCAGAGAAATGGAGAAAATAAAATGTGGAAAACAGTGAAAAGCATAATGAAAAATTGGGAAATTTAGAGAGAGAGAGAGAGAGAGAGAGAGCTATAAATATATAAAGAGAGAGAGAGAGAGAGAGAGAGGTATAAATATATATATATATAGAGAGAGAGGGATAAATATAGAGCGAGAGAAATAGAGAGAGCAATAGGTAGAGAGAGAGAGAGAGAAAAAGAGAGAGAAAAAGAGAGAGAAAGAGAGAGAGAAAGAGAGAGAGAGAAAAAGAGAGAAAGAAGAGAGAGAGAGAGAGAGAGAGAGAGAGAGAGAGAGAGAGAGAGAGAGAGAGAGAGAGAGAAAGAGAAAGAGAGAGATAGATAGATATAGAATTAGATAGATAGAGAGAGAGAGAGAGATATATAGATAGATATATATATAGATAGATAGATAGATAGATAGATATATAGATAGAGATAGATTGATAGAGAGAGATAGATACATAGAGAGATAGATAGATAGAGAGACGGAGAGACAGATAAGGAAAGATAAAGAGAGATAGACAATGAGATGGAGAAACATAGAGAGTCCTGTTGGCACTTACGACGCCCGAAAAAATGCCACAAAGAGCAGCAATAGCAAGCACATTGAAAACTGAAGACCCAACAATGGTCCCAATTCCCATATCACCCTTGGCGACAAAAGTAGCCACAATGCAGACAAAGAATTCGGGCGCCGACGTGGCAGCTGCCATGAACGTTGCACCTGCCACATCATAAGACATTCGTAACGCTAAATAGTAGACCATGTGGAGCCAGTGAACGAACGGCTTTGGCATCTATTAGGGAAATACGTACAGTAGCACAGACGCTCCATGGACGGCACCAAATAACTTTCGCATATAATAGCCAACATGATAAATATGTATAAGCTAATAAATACACACGCGACCGTATATCCAATCGACTTCTTGCGCATTAAGTTTGGAAACTCGACTATTGATGGCAGCGTACAGTTGTTCACCTGGTCATTGGTTCGACGCATTATAGAATTAACTGTTAGACGGGGAAATAATGATTGTGACTCTTGATCTGTTCGACGGCATCGATCAGCTCGCTTACCGTAGTCTCCGTTAATGATCCTGGCCCATTCTGCATCATTGTGGTAAGCCATTCTACTGCCTGGCTTGAGAATAAGTAAAAAAAAAAAAATTAACGGAAAATCAAAATAATAATTTTCCTACAAATATTTTGAAATAATTACTGACATATTGAACATCCACAGCTATGTTCCCAGATCAACGAACAACTTGTGGCAACGGGGCCTTCATCAATGCAAATGTCTCCTCTCCTCCTGGAACTTGCAACTGAAACCTAAAATTGAGCTTTGAAAACCAACAACAACTCACGATCTACGGGCACTTGTGTGAAGCTATATCAAAGCGAAACAATACTACAAAGGCTAATGACTTCATATAATATAATAATATTTAATATAATAATTATTATCGATAATTGGCAAATGCTAAGAGCTCGACTCCACTCGTCGTCCTGCCACGCCTTCTACTGCCTGCCAAAAAAAATACTGAATTCCCATTTTCAATGGCTTCATTGCTTAGACTATCAGAATGCTAATCGTAATACTGATTATCTATATATACCTACCACGAAGCAACAAATCAAATTTGATATTTGTAGATCTTAAAGCCCTCGAGCTATGTCGATAGAGAATGACAGATCTAAAATGATTTTTATCGATATAAGGCATATGCTAAGAAATATTATTCCGAATGAATAATATACTAAAGTCAATATTCCTATGACCAGCAAAGAATCAAATCGATTTTTATCGATTAAAACCAAGCCAAGACACAGAAAGTACTTAGACTAAACTACAAATCAAATTAGATCTTTATAAATTTATATATCCGCTGCTCTGCCTAGTAAAATTCAAGTGTAAATCGATTGTTTGATCGATAATAGGCAAATGTTAAGGAATATCGATAGGCAGAGAGGAAACACCAAAACAGCAGACATGTGGCCATGTGGCACAGGGTATATTGAAGTAGAAGTAGAAGAAGAAGTAAATACATTTAATCGCATTCTTTTGTTAAATCTCATATATTAATTAATATATAAATACATTATGGAATTTGTTTTGTTTGGTTTTTTTTTTGGTTTTTGTTGATTTTCTATTGATTTTTGCTTTTGTTTTTGTTCTCATTTCATGTCACTTTGGGCAAGAGTTTCCTCTACTTTAATAATAATAATAATAAAAAAAAAACGTATTACAATAACAGCATAACGTAGTAGCATAAAGGTAACTCAACTATCAAGGTAGATAGAAATAGAACAGGAAATACATATTAATTAATTAATTAAAACGACTGCACGGCCATCTCCAGTTCCAGCTCCAAATTGCAGTACTAGTTCCAGCTACAGCTACAGCTCCAGCTCCAGCTCCAACTTCAGCTCAAGCTCCAACTCCAACTCCAACTTCAACTCCAACTTCAACTCCAGCTCATGAACGTCCGCATGTTGGCAGATTGACGCGGAAGAACACATTGAGCTCGATGAGCGAGGCAAATATCATGAATACCAAATAGATGACCAGGCACGCGATGCCCACCTTCGTGTCCAGCTTGAACTTGTTCATCGAGAATGTCAGATAGAGCAGAAAGAGCGTCGAGAGCAGTGTGATGGCCGAGTATTCGAGGCCAGCCGAATTGATGGCCACGTAGTTCTGGCCGGGCTGTATCGGAAAGAAGACCGCTTTTATCAGCCAGGGCACGCCCAGGCACAGCAGTATATCGAACGTGTTCGAACCAATCGAATTGCAAATACCCATCGAACCATGACCTGCAACGGCAACAGAGACCAACAAACATATTCCACATACAACACATCAGCATCTCATAACCAGTCTTAGCCCAATTGTGCTAACTCTAGGCAGCTAGCCTAACACTCACCGCGCTTGGCCACAATCACGCTGGACACTGCCTCGGGTACACTGGTGCCGGCTGCCAGGAACGTAATGCCCATTACCGAATCGGGTATCTTAAGTGTATCGCCTGATAAATGAGAGACGAAACGAAATCAAAAAAATCATAATATTAATATATATATAAAGATAATACTAATAAGAGCTCTTAAACTAGAAATGGCTTCCCTGGTAGAGGGCTCAATGAAAACTTACCCGAGCCATGTTACCAGCCGAGATGCCGCTGCGAAACAGTTAACTAACTGAGCATTAGGCTAGATAGCGCTAGCAACAGGATCTTTGAGTCGAACAATAGCAACTAATGGAAGCAACAACTGCAAAGCTCCTCAATGCCAACGAAGGTAGGCGGATATTGCAGCAGACTTAAGGATAACTCAAGGATAGCTCCTAATACAGGGAAGATATGGAGTGTAGAACTTTTGTTATAGTCACCAGCGGACTATAGCCAAGTGTGTAATCAGGCAACATTTTCAGAAGAGAAATAAGAGAGGAAAGAGTTTTCATTTGAACACAAGTCTCCTCTGCTCATGATTACTTTTCACAAGATTGGGTAGAGTGAAGAAGTCTTTGACTTTGACAAAGTAGAAATTGGAATAACATTCAGACAGGCTAAGAAAGTGCAGGCTGAGCACTTTATGATCACTTGATCTCTTGAAGAGCAAAAGCTTCATCGGCCCCAATCGTGTGCAGGCAGCGGGAAAAACCATTTGTTTGTCATTTTTCACCAAGTTCATGCCATGAACTTTGTGATTTCATATTAAACATTGTTTGTTAGCTTCAGTTATTGGTTGAAGCCGTTTATGCCATGACGATGATGTTGCTCCACTCACCAATTATGGTTATCATCCACGCAACGAAGTAAGACAGCGATCCAATCCAGACAATGCACATGATAAAGGTTAGCGGAAAGATTTTGTTATTTTTGGCCTTTTTGCAATCGGGTATCGCGATGCGGAAGAGCAGGTGGATCGGCCAGATAATGATCCAGGTGAACTGGGCAAAGCAGCTGGTGCCCTTCGGGTATGTCAACAGTGAGTAGCCCTCCTGTTCGGGCTCCTCGACGGCAGCTGCTGCCGCAGCAACAACTGCCAATTGTGCCTCGGCATCCGCATTGTCCATGATGGCAACGGGTGCAATGACACCCCCAGTTCCAGTTCCAGTTCCAGTTCCAGTGCCAGTGCCAGTTCCAGCTGCAGCTCCCTGCGCAGCTCCAGGCACAGCTGCAGCAGCAGCGCCAGCTGCAGCTGCTGCGCCAGCACCTGAGCCAGCTGAGCCAGCTGCAGCTGCAGCTGCTGTTCCACTACTGACCTTGGCCTGATCGTTGTTAAGGCCACCATTCAGCTGAATGCTGGCCATGTTGTGGCAAATGCGATTCTCCACAAGCTCTGCAAAGTGTCAAACACGTTTCATTTAGCGTCAAATTCGTCAACTTAGTTAGTTCGGGTATATAGCAGCGTAATTGGTTTGTTTATGTGTGTATGCTATACCTGGTTCCTTTTCATTGCTGTTCTTTGTGTGTATGCTGCAGTTGGAGGAGCGGCTGCGCGAACGCGCCTGCTTAACGCCACCTGTGTGTGAGAGTTGGTACTTCTGTTATGTATTTCTTGAGTGTGTGTCTGAGTGTGCGTGAAAGCGTGTGTGCGTGTGTGTGTGCGTGTGTGTGTGCGTGTGTGTGTGTGTGTGTCTGTGTGTGTTCTATCTTTTATCTTCTTCTCTCTCTCTCTCTCTCTCTCTCTCTCTCTCACTCTCTCTATCTTTATGTCAAATACAAAAGTTCATGTTAAGATCAATTCAATGTTAAACTTCATGTTAATAAATGTTAAAATCTCAACTTTATAATGTAGTTTCTATTTAAATCTGTGTTCATGTCAAAAGTTCAAAGTTCGTGTTAATGAAATATGAAGTTTAGCCGTTCATCAAACTAAGTTACATAACATGTATTGACATTTAGTTTAAATTAGACTTAAATTAAAAGCTGCTGTCAAAACTTCATGTCAAAATTTACGCCTCTTCAAATGACGCGTACAAGTCATAAGTTGACATGTGGTTTACATTAGCTCAGATAAAAGTTCCTGTTAAATATTCATGTCAATTAAGGCTGCATGTCAATATTGGCAAACTATCTCTCAAGGAATCAAACGTGATCTTCAGCTAACTGCTAACTGAATCTAAGACATGGACAAAAATCATTGATCATGAATTGAGCAGCGCATGAACGACGTGAATGTTCTGGTGTTTGGTTTCCGTGTACATTTTGGATCCTTTCGCTGTTGGACTCACCCTTGGCGCACTTTTGAAAGGATTTATCGAAATACATGACTGCCAAATAGACCGCATAGAGCGATACCAGAATCAATGCTTCATACCACTCGACGCGCTCATCGTGCATCACACAGATGAGAATGGCGACCGTAATGCCATAGGCGATGCTATCCCTCGTTAGAGGCCACCAATCCAAGGGTATAGTCTATGAAATCGCATATGAGGTTATCTGGATATGGAATGACTATTGCAATTAGGGAATCTTACCATGCCAGCACCGATGCCGCAACAGGCGGCCACAGCGAGTATGTTGAATACCGCGGAGCCAACAATGGTGCCCACTCCGATGTCGCCCTCCGTGATAAATGTGCCTATCACATTGACAAAGAGCTCCGGCGCCGATGTGGCCGCGGCCATAAACGTGGCGCCCGCCACATCATTGGACATATTGAGTGCTATATGAGAGATAAAGCCGACATATTTAGATATATATATATATATATATCTCGCTGAAGACATAGTTTGGCGAATCTTACCTGCACATATTTTCTCAACAGCTGGCACAAAGTACTCATCACATACTACTGCTAATGCTACAAATAAATATAAACTGGCTATAACATGAAGTACAACAGCACCGGACTGTCTTTGCGCCTCCGTGAATAGATCTCTGGGGAAATCATCAATGGCGGGCTGAGTGCAATTTATATCTGTGAAGAGTTATCGGAAAACACACTCAGTATTCATAGCTCATTATTCATTATTCATTTCAGATCATTGCAATAATAATTTATTTATTAATTATTGTCATAATTCATTATTCATTACTCAGTATTCACTAGTGCTCAGTCATGAGTCATTATCAATTATTCACTATTTATTATTCACTCATTCATTCAGTGTTAATTATTCATTGTTCATTACTCATTGCTCTTGCTCATTGCTTATCAATTCATTATTCCTTAATCGTCATTCATTATTCATCATACTCATTGTTCAGTGTTCATCGTTCCTCATAAGTCATTCATTTTTCATTATTCATCATTCATTTATTATTCATCACTCATCATTCATTGTTCATCATGCCTCATTGGCAACTTCAGTCCATCCAGCCACATCTTTCAAAGCATTGCCTACTTTTAAGCGCCCTTTTTGATAAGAAATATCATTCGGTACCCAAGAAACTTGTATTATTCCCTTGAATAGAATATTTTTTCAAATATTCAAATTATTCACAAACAAAAAAATCAATCGCCAGTCAGCTAACAATTATTGATGATAATAAGACTGATGGATGAGGCCTTGTTTACAAATGGGCATTACGTGCGAATAGCAATAATCGCTTGATTAATTAACGTTAGGTCTATTCAATTTGTGGTTCGTTTAACACACAGTTCACAGATCTTTAAGCATCAATTAAGAGATCAACGTCTGTATAGAGTTCGTAGCATTTATAGATGAGTTAATAAGTAATCGCATTGCGCACATTTCATGTTACGTTTGTCACTTTAATTATTTTGGATGTTTCTTGCTGCTTGTACTATCCAAAGTTATCTTATATTTTTTCTTTTTTTATTTTTTTGTAATTTTTTTTTTTTTATTCACAATTTGTCGCTTCTTGCTCTCAAGCGCCGGTAAAGAACTAAAACAGTAAAGCAGCAAGAACAACCACAAGACTCTGGCCACAGAGAGATCCCATCTAAGGAATCGACAACAATCAACACTCATAATAAAAACTCAAAAAAAACAACAAGTGTGAGTCCCACCGGCTGCGTGATACTCGCTCGTGTAATATTTTTAGACGCAATGCATTTCGCTTTCTTTTGTTCCTGTTTAAGAGAGTTTATTTATGCAAAGATGTAACCAAATTGAACTGTTTTTAATTGTTTTAAGAAGTTGATCTTTTATCTATTTAAATCAATTAAATATCAATTAATCAATCTGGAAGAAATTGTTACATTCAAGGCAGAGAGAGAGATCGTATATGATCTACATTTCATGAAGGTTCAATAGGCTTAAGATATAGGAGAACGAATAGATATATTCGATTGGTCAATCCTTAAGAATGATGGTTGAAAGTAAAAGCTATGTAGATAGATGAATAAGTGTGTTAGGCAGCTAGGAAATAGTCAGATTTTCAACTTATCTACAAGTTGGAACTATGTCAATATTAAGCGTGATCAGAAGAGCTTATTTAGAAAGAGACAGAGCAGAAAGCAACAGCGAGAATTATCTAAAGCTAGCTAAAGATTTTGGTATTCAGACATATAAATGGTATCAAGCTGAACGCAATTTTTGCATACAAATATACTCGCTTCAGAATTTATGAGCGAGCATAAGACAAGAGCCGAAGTGCTGAGTTCGATTCGTGTGCGATTCGGATGACGATTTCAATTGCGAGTCGTCGACTTCACTTGATTATCGATCAACTGAGCTGAGTTTCAGTTGAGTTGACTTAAGTCGCGTCGAGTTCCGCTGGATAGTTGGATGGTATATTCTATAGACTAGCTGGTAGCGGAAACGATAAATACGAGAAGCGCTTTGATCTCTCGATATCAACAAATTGAATAATAAAAGCGACGCATGTCGGCGACACAAACAACAACAACAACAAATGCTAGAAAAAAAAAAACAAATTAAAAAAGAGTAAAAACAAAATTTGACCGATAAATTACAAAAAATTAGAAAACACAAACGACATTTGGGGCATTACTTAAATGAGTTAGGTACGTAAACATTGCGCTCAATAGAAATTTACACTGTCATATATATATACGATAGCTCCTTGATATATATAATATATTTAACATTTTTTTAAAATAATTATAATAAACAAAAAATATAAATGCTTAAAAAACTATGTTTATTAATTTTTTTATTTTAGTCTTTTGAGCATTTGCAATTTCCCATTAAAATTCAAAGTAAAAAAAATATATTAAATATATATTAAATAAATACAACATTATTTCGTTTCTTTAAATATATTATACAAATTTCGATTTGTTTGTTTCTCAGTATATTTATTTTTCAATAAACTTTTTAAAAAATAGCTAAAAAAAAAATGGCTTACATAAATAATTTACTCCACTCAAAGCATATGCATCTACCTATGTTATATAGCGGGGATCATGGGGTCTTAGGGATCACATATATATGTGCATGCATTCGTTTTTTGAAAAGCTCCCTAAGACAGCATCTATATATAGACATTTCGAGTATATTTGTATAATATTTCTTTTTTTTCATTTCATTTGTAGGGCAATTTGCATAAATTTCGATAAACAATTGAAGACAATTTTTGTACGTAACGTCAGGCAACAGCGCAATAATACAAATATATAAGTACACTTATATACAATACTAAGAGACAACAACAACAACATGAAGAAGAAGCAGAACAAGAACATTGGAATTGACTAAGCTATATAAGAAGCCCCAGCAATGAGCGGCAGAGGCAGCCCAAATGTGGCTGCCACTTGCTGCAGATCAGAGCAGGGAACAGCTTCTTCATTTCCATCTTCATCTTCATCTTCTTCTACTTGTTTTTTTTTTCAGTGCCCGTCCGTCCAGCTTAGGGGTCAATTGAGCCCGAACGCATTTTGTAACCGATGGCCCGCATAATGCAATAATGCTTAATCAGCATTTACAGCAAACAGAAGTTGTCGCCGACTGGCGTCGCGTTGGTGTTAATGATAATCAATTTAACATGGATAACAATCAGCGAAACGTTCAATCACTGTTAATTAAGTTCACACTAATTGAATAACAGCCGCATTAACGCCACTGAAAGCGATCCAGCACCAACAGTCGAACTCTATAGAGCACCTAACACGCGAGCCCAGATCAACTGCTCATCAAATATTAACTAGAAGTTAGCTGAAGAGGTTTAAAACACATCAATCGATAGTTCAATCGATAATCGATAAATAGAGTATAGAGTATAGAGTATAGAGTATAGAGTATAGAGTATAGAGTATAGAGTATAGAGTATAGAGTATAGAGTATAGAGTATAGAGTATAGAGTATAGAGTATAGAGTATAGAGTAGAGTATAGGAGTATAGAGTATAGAGTATAGAGTATAGAGTATAGGAGTATAGAGTATAGAGTATAGAGTATCGAGTATAGAGTATAGAGTATAGAGTATCGAGTATAGAGTATAGAGTATAGAGTAGAGTATAGAGTATAGAGTATAGAGTATAGAGAGTATAGAGTATAGAGTATAGAGTATAGAGTATAGAGTATAGAGTATAGAGTATAGAGTATAGAGTATAGAGTATAGAGTATAGAGTATAAGTAGGTATAGAGTATAGAGTATAGAGTATAGAGTATAGAGTATAGAGTATAGAGTATAGAGTATAGTTATAGAGTATAGAGTATAGAGTATAGAGTATAGAGTATAGAGTATAGAGTATAGAGTATAGAGTATAGAGTATAGAGTATAGAGTATAGAGTATAGAGTATAGAGTATAGAGTATAGAGTATAGAGTATAGAGTATAGAGTATAGAGTATAGAGTATAGAGTATAGAGTATAGAGTATAGAGTATAGAGTATAGAGTATAGAGTATAGAGTATAGAGTATAGAGTATAGAGTATAGAGTATAGAGTATAGAGTATAGAGTATAGAGTATAGAGTATAGAGTATAGAGTATAGAGTATAGAGTATAGAGTATAGAGTATAGAGTATAAGAGTATAGAGTATCGAGTTCTCGTATAGAGTTTGCGTTAGAGTATCGAGTCTGAGTATGCGTCTAGCTTAGAGTATAGCGTCTCGCGTCTAGCGTATCGCGTATAGAGTATCGAGTCTAGAGTATCGCGTATCGAGTATAGCGTATAGAGTTCTGCGTCTAGAGTATCGCGTCTAGAGTATAGAGTATAGAGTCTCGAGTCTCGCGTCTAGGTATCGAGTATGCGTCTAGCGTTAGAGTATAGGTATAGGTATGCGTTCTCTATAGCGTCTGCGTATAGCAGTCTAGAGTTAGCGTTGGTACTAGATTAGTATGAGTATAGAGTATAGAGTAATTTAAAATACTGTCTTCTATAACTATTCACGAACTGCACGTATTGTACAACACTGCCAGGAATATCCTCATGTATATTACGTATACGCCTCGTTGCCGCAATTGCTCATTGTTTTACAAGAGAGACAGACAAATATTTTACTATACACAAAGTCCATTCATATATCAATATATATTTATATATATTGTATATAAAGAGAGAGAGAGAGAAATATACGTATTTATGTCTATGTTAGATATTTTGTACATAAGCAAGCAAAATCAGCACCAACAATGCGTTTTAATATGACTTTTGTGTATCGTTTAAGCTAAGTTTGAGAGCACCCAACTCATCTCATCACATTGCATCGCGTCGCGTCTCTGTGTAGATGTACCACGATCAAAGTATTTGTATCTGTCAAAGTTGTTGTATCTGTATCTGTATCTGCATCTGTATCTGTATCTGTATCTGTATCTGTATCTGTATCTGTATCTGTATCTGTATCTGTATCTGTATCTGTATCTGTATCTGTATCTGTATCTGTATCTGTATCTGTATCTGTATCTGTATCTGTATCTGTATCTGTATCTGTATCTGTATCTGTATCTGTATCTGTATCTGTATCTGTATCTGTATCTGTATCTGTATCTGTATCTGTATCTGTATCTGTATCTGTATCTGTATCTGTATCTGTATCTGTATCTGTATCTGTATCTCAATATTAATCTATTTTTAGCTTTAGTTAGGTTATGTTGATTAAGGAAGTAACCGGCTAACTATTGCTTTTCTCCACTCGCTTAGCTTTTTAAAGGACTATTAAAAACTGAAATAACTGTTTATTAAATAAGACTGATTGTTAGCTGTTGGGCTGAACTTTAGGCAATGAGACATGACACTTCCAGTTGCGTGTTTTTTGAATACATGTTTTAATTTAGTTTTAGGTCTGCTTATTTTGTTGTTTATTTTTATGCAACGCTTCAATGCGTTTGAACAATAAAACCCATAAAAAATTCAATTTATTGTTGTTTGTACGAATTAGATTTTTTGATTTGATTTCAATTGCGATTATTTAGATTGAACATCAAAAATTATGCATTGACAACTGTTAACATTTCTCATTTCAATTAGTCAGCATTTAAAAATAAAAAAAAAATTAAAAAAAATACAACAAATTTTTATTGAGTTTTGAGTGCTTTTGGACTCGCTTAGTGCGTATGCTTAATCGCATTGCGCATACGCCGCATTGTACATTAGCCACATACAAATGAAGTCATCTATAAAATTTAAGTTTTCCGCAACAGCAACAATAACAACAAAAAGTAAAAAGAAAACTATACAATAGTCACAGCAGCAGCAACAACAACAGTCTTTTGATTTAGTTCTACATTTTTTTGCCTTTTTTGTTGGTTTTTTTTTTGTGCATAGTAAATGTCATTAAGTTTCACTTAATGAGCCAATTTAGACAATTGATCCATATGCTTTAGTTTACGCGACACACACACATACATATATAAATAGATTATATACGCTAGTATGAGTATGTGTGTGTGTGTGAGTGTGTGTTTGTGCCAGTGTGTGTATATGTGTGTATATAGGCGAAGAAACGGCAAAAAACGCGCCGACAAATGTGCAGAAAAAAAATCCATTCCTAAGCGACGACGGAGAACATTTTGAATTACATTATACACATAACCGTTATATATTAGTTATAATATGTTATATATATATATATATAAATGTATATATGTATATATATATATATGTATGGCCTGTATGACGTCACTGTACACACACACACACACACACACACTAAATGAACACTAATTGCTTAATTCATTTTGATTTTTGCCGCATAACAAAAAGGACAAAAAAATACAGATACATATGAATTAGCACATTAATTTGTATTTTTTGCTTGATGTTTTTTCTTAATGATTATTTAGTGATTTATTTGCTTTGAAAATTCTACAACACTTCTTTTATGTCCTCCTTTTGTGTGTTTCAATTTAAGAGTTGATTTTTAGGTTAGTTTTGCCTCGATCATTTTTTCTTTCGTTATTTTTCCTATTTTGATATTTGATTATATCTATTTTATATGAGATTTTAAGTATGTAATTTGTGCCCGTACCCGTAGTGCTGCTAAGACCCCAAGAGTCTTCCATTGCTGCACGGTGTTGTAGTGGTGATGGACACTCGTAAACTGCGCTGCGGCCGCTATATGAAACGCAATCTCAATCTCAATCTCTGTCGCTTCCACTTCAATGGTGTTGATTTGCCTGCCTGGCTTGGTGGTGTTGGTGGCGTCCCCTCTTGCTGTCTCCGTCTTAGTCTTGCGTCTCTGCTCTGCGCTTTAGTCGCGGCTTAGCCGCACACAGGCAACCAGCCACCCACACATATACACGCACACACACACGCACAGCATGTAGCTGGCTTTAAGCTTCTATATAAACGCGCGTTATTTTCAATTGTCGTGAAGATCTTAGCACAGGGGAGGGTGGGGGCGTCGACAGGGGGCTGCTGGTACTATTTGATCGAATGGAAAGGGGGAGGTGGCAATTTAAAGCACAAGGCGCGGTGTGGCGCGACACTCAAACACACCCACACACAATGATGTGTGTGTGTGTGTGCGCGCGCGCGTGTGTATGTGCGTGTCACTTAATGCATTTCGCGTTGTCGAGCCGCGTTTTAAGGCAGAAGGCATAAATCAAGGGGCAATCATAAAATAGCCGCCGCCACTGTCAGCCCGCCGTTGCCTTTCTTCCTACTCAGTTTCTTCTTCTTTTTCAATTTCGTCTTCGGGTCTCGCTCTTGTTCTTGTACTCGCTCCTCGACAGTATTCAGCACAGTTGCGCCTGCGATCTCGCTCACACGCACGCGCCTCGTGCCAGTCACGTATAACGCTTCTCACTTGTCTTTTATCTTTATCACACTTTTGTGCACCGAAACAACAACAACAACAAAAACAAAACAATAACAACAACAGCAATGACAATAGGCAAACGCCAACAAATACAAAACAAAAAAAATGGAAGAAAAAATGTCAATCCCGAATCCCGTTGCTCAGTTGACCGCGCGCATCTTTCACATTTCTTTATGCTCGCTTACGCCTGTGTATGTATGCATGTGTGCATGTTGATATGCATAAATGTATGGCTGAATGATATGTTTCGTTGTGTCTGTGCGTGTATTTATAGTCTAAGCTTTTCGCATTTGGCTTTGGCTTCAGTTTAGTTTAGTTTAGCATTTGGCTGTGGCTTTATTTTATTCTATATTGTCTTGATGCCGCCGACGTTTGACGTTAAACTGATTCGATGTTTCGGATAGCGCTTTAGTCGAAACTGAGCATCGAAAATTTTTGCCGAGCTTGATTCATTTTTTCTTTTTTTTTTGTATAGAGTCACCCATTCGGTCCGTGTCTGTACCTGCTTTATTTAAATACATATGTATGTATATATATATATATATATATATATATATAAATATATATATGTATATATATGTGTGTGGTTATGTGTTTGTATGTTTGTATGTGCATGCTGTTTACATATAGACAGTTTAACTAGCCTATATGGACTATATACTTGTACTTGTCGCACATATGTATGTGCATATAAGTACGATTGCATGCTGGCCACACACACTCATGCATACATGCATACTATGCCCGTAGTTTCATTGCTGTTGTTGTTGTCGTTGTTGTCGTCGTCTAGTCTCCAGTTTCCTCACATCGCGGCTTTCGAACAGTTGAACAGCATACAATCCTATGCGGCAAAGGTCATGTCATGGTACAGCGACCAACTAATTATGTTTTTTTTTTAAATAGCTCGTGCTATTAAAGAAAGTTATTTATTGGGCTTATTTTGTTTTTTTTGGGCTTGGCTTGTTTTGAAAAAAAAAAAAAGAAACAACAACAACAACAGTTACCTAGAAAACTGATCCAAATAGACTGTTTAATTAAAATAATTTTAAGTATTAAATTAAGGAACAACAGTATCTAAGTTGATTTTGTTGCCGATCAGCACACTATATATATGCACATATATATACTAATATTGTTCAATTACAAGAAAACCACATAAAATATCTAAGAGCTTCCAATTTTTTGGGCGAAAAAACATCAAAATATTGAATCTAGCATAGTTAACTTATGAGAATTGCAAGATTACGTGGACGAAAGAACATAAAGATAGATAAGACGAGCTAAAAAAAAGTAAAAGCTCTGCAATCGATTGCAACCAACGGCCTGATACTCTACTCCTTCGTAGTTCAATAACAGCTCGAAGTTTGATGTAGACCTGGCAATTTGAATAGTATCGATATGCTAATATCGAAGGATTACTTATCGATATATTCAGTATCTGTAGATCTAGCTATAAAGCAAGCCAATAGACGTCCAGACACATCGTAACTTCAATTGTTAAGTGTTAAACTGCTGAAGCCCCGTGAGCATAGCTATACATGCTTGACTTTTAATGCGAAACTGGTATACGAAGATCAAATATTCAGATTGATAAGCAGACAGAAAGTTTCACCTTGCCGACAACCAATATGCCCGCTTCTCATACTGCGAGCGAGTATAACACAGAAAGCAATTCATATGCCAGCCAAAATGAGGCGCCTCGACTAACAAGTAAAGTTTCCTTCTCCTCTGCCCCCCTCTCGTGGTCCAATTCGTGCTTATCACATCTCAACTGAACTTAGTTTGCCTATGCTATGCTATATGTGCCCCCATTCATTAAATATTCATTCATCTTATCGGGGAAACATGTTTGAATACTCCGAAAAAAAATAATAACAAAAAAACAAAATTCGTCATCTCCCAAAAAAGGGAAAATTGGAGTGAAAAATCAGTAGACGAAGCATAGCCTTGTTCTTCTCTCTCGCGCTTCCACTCTTTCTCTCTCTGTCCGTCTGGTATGTATGTAAATATTTGTACTACAGTTAATCAAACAGAAATCATGACAAACAGGACAGCTTAAAAGCTATAAAAAAATATGAAATGAGTAGAAAAAATATGCGATCTAATTTTTTATTATTTATTTTGCCTGTTTTCGTCTTTCTATTTCTGCTGGTTGTCTAAAAAGACCTAAGCATTACGTGTCCAATTGGACTTAATCTCCACGGGCGTGCAGCATATAGTTTGGCTTACCAATTGGATGTTTGTTTGCTATTCCAACTGGGAAATCAGTGGCAATGGGAGTGCGCTAGTTGGTGTGCTTATGTTGCTGTTTGTTCTGATTGATTGATTGATTGGCGAACTGATTAGCTGAATGACAAATGCCTGAAGATTAAATGATTAACTGATTAATTTAATGATCAACGAGGGACCAACTGACTGACTGATTGAGTGACTGGCCGAGTGATTAACTCATTGGCTGCATAGCCAATTAACTGACTGATGTGTGGCGTGAGTGATTAAATGGCCTGATCAACTATTTGATTAAGTGCCTGATTGATTGATAAAACATTGACTGACTAACTTCTGAGTAAATGATTGTTTGACTGAACCATCAACTAATTGATTGATTGACTGATCGGCTGCAAGAGTTGATTGATTGGATTGAATGGCTAATGGACTGATGGAAGGATTGATTGATTGATTGATTGATTAATTGATCGATTGATTACCTGTTTTACTGGTTGCTTGACTGATTGATTGACTGGCTTATAGATTGAGTGACTAATTGTTTGATCGATTGAGTGACATTTTGATTGAGCGACTGATAGATTGGAAAAGTAATAGCATTTGTTTGGTTAGCGTATAGTTGTGATTAATAATTGATGTATTGATGAATGATATAACAACAGAATGACCGATTTGCTGAGGAATTGATTGATTAACTCGCTGATTTGCTTACTCACTAACTGACTGATTGATTGACTGACTGATTGCAATAGTCTCTTCTTTTTCCAAGTTAGTTTCAGTGCTCAGCTCTTACAGCATGAAGACAATTTGGACTTTTACTATAGTTTCCGACTTATATCTCGTGATCAAATTATTTAATAATAGCTTCTAAAAACCAACTATAGAGAACTGAACCTTTACCTTAAATATTTATATATGTATATGCAACAAAATAGTTATTAAACGGAACACGCACAGCTAGCACGAAAGCTTTTCGCTAATTGGCTTTAATTTGAAGTTGTTCCTGAATGAATATATATATATATATATATATATACAGTAATCGAAATATTGTAATTATGATTGGCACTCTCTGTGCAGCTCACAATTTGAATTGCAATACAACAAGCTACTTGTTCTTATACGTTCTGATCAGAGATCTTTCTGCAGTTTTAATTCGCCTGTTGCTTTAAGTATATATTCGAATTTCATATTAGAAAAGTTAATATATAAAAGAGCTTAGTTCCAATAACCGACTAGAATTGGTTTAGTTCTAATTGCCATCGATCCACGCGTTCTGATTAGCATTTTCGTTTCAGCATTATTTGACCTTTGCATTTCTGATTTGAATCATCTGTTTGGCATTTCTTATTGACAATGCATCATAAGTCCCATTATCTTCATATTGCAACTACACAACTTAAAATAATTTCTAATTGGATTAACGTTCATAACTCTTATTGGCATTATATATGAAAGTCGTTTTTGTTTGTGCTTGATTTTGGTTTGTTTCTTTGTATTTAATTTAAGGTATCAACGGGGAATATGTAAGGTTATTATTATTTTGTTTTCTCATGTTTGTCGTTTAAACTTTAACAATTAAAACTAGGAATTTTTCTCTTTTACAAAACACATGCCGAAAACGCAAATGCCGCTGTCTATATACACGAAAAAAAAAACAGAAAAGCATTGGTATATATATATATATATATATATGTGCTGTATATATACATACATATATATAAATATATATATATCTATATATAACCCACTTAAATTAGTTATAGCAAATGTTTAAGAATTGTCAACGGAACAAAATACGCAAAAAGAAGGAGAAAAAACAAAAAGATAAGAAAATAGTCTATTTGCACACATATATATATATATACATATATATATACAAGTATAGATATATATATATACATGCATATGTACATAGATAGGCTAAATCAGTTTGGCATGCCGACGCCCTGCTGAAAGCTGAGCGTCTCCTGTTGCTTCTTCTCCTCCTCCTGCATCTCGAGCGCCAGCTTCTTGTATTTCTCCGCCTCCTTCTCGTTCTTGTCGATGCCGTCGCCGCGGGCATACATCTGGCTAAGATTTGCGCATGCATACATGTTACGCAATTCGCATGCCTTGTAGGCGAACTGAAATGCCTTCTTCATGTCCTTGAGCACAATGTAGTCGGTGTCCTTAAGCGTTTTAGCCTGTGCCGCGGCTGGCACATCTTCCGGCTTCTTCTGCACGCCCGAAATGTGCATGCCGGATAAATAAAAGCAGGCGTTGGCATTGTTCATGTCACAGCTCTTTGTAAGAAACTGCAAACCCTGCAAACATCAAAGTGGATTAGAGTTGATAAAGCTGCTGGCGATTGGATCACACTCACTTTAGGCACATTGCGGTCAATTTCTTTGGGCATGGAACGTGAGACGAGCAGCAGGCCGGAGTGTAGACAGGCATCCGAATCGTTTAGGTTGCAGCCCTTCTCATAATATTGATAGGCGACGCGTGGCTCACCTTTGCTGCCGCTTTTACCTTTGCCCAGGAAGCTATAGTTACCATATTTGTAGCAAGACTTGGCGTAGCCATAATCGTCACATGTCGATTTGTATACTTTGGACGCCTTCTCGAAGTCCTTCTTAATTCCCTCCAAATAGTCGCCGAGTAGATGGCAAACTGCAATGAAAGCGTTACAAAATTCAAATTCAGATATTTTGATTGTGCAATCGGTTATAGTTCGAGTTACATATATAGATTTTCGCGTATCATTTACAAACTTGTTCATCTTGTGTTTGGTAATTCAATTACGAATACAAAAAAACATAGGTTATGTTTTGTTGTTGTTGTGTTGACCGCCTGCTGTTGTTATTGTTGTTGTTGTTGGTATTTACCTTCCGGCTTCTTTTCGGAATAGCAGCCAAAGCGATACTCAACGCCCAGCTTTTCCACATATTCCTTAACGTCGGACTCCTTTTTTAAGTCATACGCCATTGTGTTATGGTTTTCTATATATATTTATATAAATAACAGCCAGTTTTGTCGATGCCTCTCTGGATGTTATGTTGGTGTCGTCGTCGTCGTCGTCGCCGCCGCCGTCTTGTTGTTGTTGTTTCTGCTGCCTGTGTTTTTTTTATGTGCTCTATTTTTTTTATTCCATTCTGACAAGTAGTGTTGATTAATATGGTCCCCAATTTATCAGTTATCGATAAATGCACCGCGCTACGGTCACATTGTTGCAGCACTGTTTGAATGAAAGTGGAATATATTTGAACAAAATGCTTAAATGTGATATATGCAATAAAAGCAATGAGGATGAGGATGAAGATGATGCGCTGCTATATGGCGAATGGATGGTCAAACAGAAGGTAACGGTGCACTACTATTGCCTGGTGAGAAAACCCTTGTAAACTATATATATATATATATATATTTATGTATAAAATCTTTGCCGCCAACAGTTGCTGTCGACGAATTTAGCTCAACGCGGCGGCGATTCGAGCGGAATTTTAGGCTTTTTGTTGCGCGATATACGCCAAGAGGCAGCCGCGGCACAAAAGCGTAAATGTGCCTTCTGCCGCGAGCAAGGCGCCAGCGTTATTTGTTTCAAATGTCGCATTGTTTTCCACATGAGCTGCGGCCTGGAAAATCGTTGCATCTATCATTTTCGTGATGATTTTCGCAGCTACTGTGAGAGCTGTGCCCCGCTGGACGAATACAAAAAACAGTTGCTGGCCAACCCGCCAAAGACGGCCATCTGTGACATCTGCTTCAACCCCATCTCGCCCTTTCTACTGCACACTGTCACCTACGGCGATTGTTGCCGCAAAGGCTTTGCTCATCGGACGTGCATGCGACGCTATGCTTTGGCGTCTGGCTATTATTTGCGCTGTCTCTGGTGTCGGTCAAAGAGCTTTCATGATAACATACGACTGCAGTCGGTCTTCGTGCCCGATCGCGATGCGACGTGGGAGCGACAACCGAATGCCTATAGTGAGCTGCACAACAGGCGAATGCGCTGTGAGCAAACTGAGTGCCTGTGTCCAAAGGGACGGGATTTCAATCGTAATACCTGGACCATTCAGCCGTGCATATTGTGCGCTGCCACGGGCACTCATTACAAATGTTATGTGGGCACAGCGCGTTTGTCGCGCACCACTGCCAAAGAACCGAACAATTTCAAATGCAACACGTGCACTGAGGTGGAGGCAAAGCTCCAACAGTCCAAGCAAAAACAAGTGCCCTCGCCAAATAGCAACTGGGAAACAGCAGACAAAAACATTGATTCATCTTATTATATGCCTAAGAATTGTTACGAACTGACCGTCGCAGCTGATGATGATTCGCTGGTGCACTCCGGAGAGGATTCGTCGTCAACTGAAGCCAGCGTCGTGACCGTTTTGGGCTCGCAGCGTATGACAGTGCTTAGCTGTGATAAATTAAACGATATAGCAATGGGGCAGGCGCAGTCGCAGTCGCAGATGCCGACTTCAACTCCAACATCTGTGGAACAAACCGTCATTGAGCTGCCGGACACACAGCCCATAGCTACGCAACAGCTACTGATCAGCTGCTTGAAGCCACCTTTGTTACTGCGCGAATCCTTCACAAACGGCTCATATTTTTATCTCATTGTCTACGAATACAACGAGCAGTTGGCAAATCCCTGCAGGGGCAGTTGCACCTTGCGCTTTGCTTTAGATGATAAACGCCTGGGCGATCGGTCAACGCAGACACTGGAGCAACTGCAGCTGCTGGAAACAGACATTTGGTATCGAGATAGCGATCGTGGCATCTACGACAAAATCGATCAATATACCAACAAATAGCTTCGGCTTCGACAATGTTTAACAAATTATATATATTACAATTAATAGCAACAAATAAAAGTTTTGTTTCGATTTCTAAGTTGTGGCACGATAATCGAAGAGTTTGGGCAAGACATCACCGCATTTGGCGGAGATCTTGATATCAGCCAAATGATCTGCACGCGTCTCTCCGATATTGACTATTGCCACTGGCAACTTCAAATCCTTCGTCTGTAGCACTATGCGATAGCCGGAGAAGACGAGCAGACTGGATCCCAGCACTAATAGTCCATCGCTGGTGTAGACCATCTTGGCAATCGCTTCGAGTCGATCCCTTGGCACACAATCGCCGAAGAATACAATCTCTGGCTTCAAATTGCCATCGCAGTGCGGACATGCGGGTATTTGAAAGTTTTCAATATATTCAGCTGGGATTTCGACATCGCCATCGGGTCGTATCATATCCGGTGCATCCTTGAATGCCGGGTTCATGGAGGTGAGTATGTTTTGGAATTCGTGCCTTTCGATACGATAATCACAGTCCAAACACTTGACCACATAGCCGCTGCCATGCAGCTCCACAATGTTCTTGGTGCCCGCCTTGCTGTGCAAACGATCCACATTCTGAGTGACCACCGCTTGGATGCGTAACTCACGCTCGAATCGCGCTAAAGCATGATGTGTAGCATTTGGCTGGGTAGCTGAGAAATTTGGCCAACCCACAAAATTCCGTGCCCAATAACGTTTTCGTACTCCGGCGGATTTCAAGAATTCGCTATGCTGGATGGGTTTGTGATTGGTGCGCGCGTACAAGCCAACGCCGGCAGAACGATAGTCGGGTATGCCTGCCAACAAGAAAAGGCTTTATTAATATGCATGGACAGTGTCATTCATTGATTTCGACTAAGATAACATAGACTGATTCTTATGCATCCTTTAAAGTTTGCGTTAAACTTGTATACCATTAGCCTAAGCTCTGGTTTAATGCTTTAAATTTACCTGATTCTGTTGATATGCCCGCGCCAGTAAGTACCAAAATATTTGGTCTGGATAGCAGGAAATCCTCCAGGCGTTTTATATCATCATCCAACGCGGGCTTGTGCTGCGGCACATATTGTTGTTTAATAACGCTGCGGCATCGTAGCACGCCACCCAGGCGCATTGTATAATAATGAAAACAAGTTATTAAAATAATACAATTTTAACTTAGCTTTATAAACTGCAACACAGTTAGAAATATATGCCCAGCAGCTGTTAAATGCCAACACCAACTAACTCGAAGTGTGAATGTCGATTTATTTAATATATTCTCTCGTTTTTTTATGTTATAAAATCTCGATTGTTTTTAATGTATTTGTGCGTTTGTTTTTTTTTTTTTTTTTTTTTTTGTTGTATGAAACAGCTGATCGTAAATTTTTGCAAATTGTACAGCACTAAATATTGTCGTTTAAGTGTCAACGCACAACGGACTGCATTTGTAAATGTATCGCACGCGCAAGCGATAACAGGAGCGCTTACACGCTTGCTCATCTCTATGTGGCAGCGGCTGCAGTGGTGAAAATTTGAGAGCAGCCTTTTTTACGTGTAGTTTTTTTAATTGCATATGTATGTACAAAAATTATAAAATTGAAACACAAAAACTTCGATACGAGACTAATATACGCGTGTGGTGGGCTTGAACGCGTACGCTCTTGTCGTTAGCGCTGTGTACACATATTTGCATTTGATCTACAAATATATCGTACACGATTCACGTTCACTCCAACACACCCGTGTGCCTGTTTCGTGTGCGCGCGTGCATGTGTGTGTGTGAGTGAGTGTGGTTTGTATGAATGTGTCGGCTTTAATTTGCACGCACGCCAACAACAATATACAAAATAATAGTATTTAAAACAGGAAGGCACGACACAAGGAACAACTAAAATGTCATATCCACCGCGTGCGCCGATGCCGCCATATATGAATGCATCGATTCCACCGCCGCATGTAAGTCGACTTATTAAATATTCCTAAATTTGGCTAAAAGTGAAAATTGAATTTCTCATTGCTTCGCATGTTAGCTGATGCCTCCGATACCCCCGCCACGCAGTTACCGCAACTCGGCGACGATCAGCTCACAGCCAACAGTGTATCATCGCCCACCAGAGCCACAGCCCCAATTCCGAGGACCCGTCATTACCGTCTTTGTGGGCAATATCAGTGAACGCGTCCCGGAATCGTTGCTGAAGCGCATATTGGCCGCCTGTGGTGTTGTTATCAATTGGAAGCGTGTCTCCACATTCGGATTCTGTGAATTCGAGTAAGCTAAGCCATATTCGAGTACTATATCTTAACGATACCTAATTTGTCTTCAATATCTTCCTCTCTTTTTGCCTGTCTATCTGTCTACAGTGGTCCCATTGCGGCGATGAGATCTGTAAGGCTGCTCAGTGAACTGGAGATTGATGGTAAGAAGCTGGTGGCTAAGGTGGATGCTAAGAACAAAGTGCTAATCGAGGATTACAAGGAGAAGGAGTGCAAAAATGGCGAGGGCGGTCCCAATGCCATGGATGAAAAGACTGAGGACGAGTTTGCCACCAGCCAGATGCACGATCTGCTCGAGGAGCATAAACACGAATTCGAGGGTTTTGATGGCACCAATCGCGGCGATCTCTATGGCAGCAGCAGCAGTAGCAATCGTAACAAGAAGACGCGACGCGGCGAAGATGACATCAAGATCAAATCCTTAAACGACAATGCACTCGAAGAGGAGAAACGTAATTTGATCAGCAGCGAGATTGGCAAATTCCGTAAACGTGCCGAAGCCGACGAGCATCGCAAGGAGCTCGAAAAGGAGAAGGAAAAGGAGAAGCAATTGGCTAGCAAAGAGAAGGAAAAGGAACGCGAACGTAAAAAGCAACAACGCGAGTCGGAGCGCAAAATCAGCGGCAGCAGCGCTAGCGGCAGTGCCAGCGCCAGCAAACCCCCTACAGCGGGCAGCGAAGTGGAGGAGGTTGTAGAGATCAACGATAAGGAGCAGTCCAGCAAGGAGCCAGCCAATCAACGCAGTCGCAAAGAGTCGATTGTCACCATCGATGAGTCGCCTGTGCGCTTGAGCAAGGAGCACAAGGAGCGCCTAACCACCAGCGCCAGTGACGCCCATAAGGATGGCCGACGTCGCGATCGCCGCTCCAAGTCCCGCACCAAGGAACGCGATCGTGAACGTGAGCGTGAGCGTGATCGCGAGCGCGAGCGTGAACGTGAACTGATGCGCGAACGTGAGATGCGTGAGCTGCGCGACAAGGAGCGTGAACGAGAGCGTGAACGTGAGCGGGAGCGCGATCGTGAGCGAGAACGTGAGCGTGAACGGGAGCGTGAGCGAGAGCGCATCGAGATGCGTGAGCGGGACAGAGAGCGTGAGCGGGAACGCGAGCGCGAAGAGAAGATCATCAAGCCTGTGCGCGATGCACGTCGCGAAAAGGAAATGGAGGAAGAGATACGCGAGCGCAAAAAGGCCGATAAGAAGGCACGCGAAAAGGAGGCCGCCTACCAGGAGCGTCTTACCAACTGGGAGATACGCGAAAAGCGCAAGGCCAAGGAGAACGAGAAGGTGAAGAGCTGAAGAGCCATACACTGGGCTTTAACTAAGATCAATCTCGATTATTGTTTTACATAGAAGTAGCTCAACTACTGGTTAAGCTAAAGACTAACCATACGTTTAAGCAGATGTCATCTTAGCACAAATCGAATGAAAAATCAAATATGCTATAGATGACATTGGCTTAAGCAAGGGGCTTTTAGCTTAGTCAAGTTATTTGATGGACAAGACAAATAATTCATAGAGTCTAAAATTCTATGAGCCTGACAACAATTAAACATATTGTATAGCTTTAAGTAACTGTCATTATAGTATAAGCAGGCGGCTAAAGCATAACACAATTGTGGCGCAATCTCATTGGAGCATTAAACTAACTATTTTAATCATTGCAGTATCGTCTCAAGGAGCTGCTGCGCCAGGAGGAGCGCGAAAAGGACGCCAAACGTTTGAAGGAATTCGTTGAGGACTACGACGATGAACGAGATGATGCGCTCTATTATCGAGGCCGTGAGCTGCAGCAGCGTCTGGCGGAACGAGTGCGGGAAGCTGATGCCGATTCGAAGGATCGTGAAAAGGAGGCCGACGAACTAACCGAACTAAAGAACAAAATCTTTAGCGGAGAATATGAGAATCCGTCGCAGGAGTTCGAAAAGGCACGACGTGAAATCGAAAAGCTCTACGAGCCGCGTATTCTGATCAATGTGAATTTGGAGGCGCAGCGACGCGATGCAGAGCCGCAGCAACAACAGCAGCAGCAACAGCAACAACTGTTGCAGCTGCAGTCAGAGCGACGCAAGCAACAGCTGAATGAAGATTATGATAGCAGGGATAGTGTGATTGGAGTTGGAGTTGGTGCAGTGGTGCATAAGGCGCCACCATCGGAGGATTCCTTATCGACCAATGATGATCGCGCCTCCATGGCGGACACCGCCTCCAATGCCAGCGGCTATTCACATCTTAAGAACAGCAACAACAACAATATTAGCAACAACAGCAACCAGGCTGGTGGCGGCGGTGGCGGAGGAGGAGGTGGAGGCGATGATAGCGTTAGTCGACAGAACAGCGAATCAAGAGATTCTTTAGCCAACATCCATACACCCACAATGAATGCCATTGAGAATGATCATCAGACGGTGGCAGCAGCCGCTGCGGCTGCCTCAGCTATGAGCATGCCGCTCATCTCTCTCACCCTCGGCAACAGTCTCAAGAAGAAGGTGATCGAGACAACGGGCGTCTTTATCAACGATGACGATAACGACGAGAACATCAATCCCAAGAAGCGCAAGCTGGTGCCTTTAGGTGAGTGAGAGATATAATAGAAAATATTAAAATATCATCCGGAATATAGACTGTAAGATACCCTGTAAACAACAGGAAAACTAAGACTGACTGTAACTGTGTATGTGAGCTAGGTTAGCCAAGCTCGAGTGACACACAATTTTGGCCTATTTTTTGCCATAGAATTTATCCTTTCGGTAGATTCCAGCAGGAGCAGTATCACTATAGATGATATAAACTAGCTACAACAGCCACTTGTAAAATATATACATTTATGTTTATCCATTGCAGATTATGATGACAATATAAGCAATAGCACATCATCGATAAGCGCATCACAGACGGCTGCGGAGCGTCAGAGTTCTGCTGTATCAGCGGCAACAGCGGCTGCCGCTGCCGTTAGCCAAAAGATAGCAAATGCGAGCGGAGGCGGCGGCGGCGGCGGTGTCGCTGGCAATGGATCTGGCTCTGCATCCTCCGGTTCAAGTGGCAAGAATAGCAGCAGCCAGCATGGAAAGCATGGCGGTGGCAGCAGCAGCGGTAGTGGCAGCGGCAGTGGCAGTGGCAGTGGCAACAATGCTGGCAGCAAACACCATGGTAAGAATGATGCAGCTGCATCTGCGGGGAGCGCAGATGCTGCCGCGACAAACACCAAAAAGGATGAGAATGGTGCAAAGGTGCATGATGAAAAACGGCGGCATATAAAAAGCATTATTGACAGGATACCCACACAAAAGGAGGAGCTATTTAATTATAAGCTTGACCGCAACGAGATTGATAGTGGTCTAATGGAACGCAAAATACGTCCATGGATCAATAAGAAAATCATCGAATACATCGGTGAGCCGGAGCCAACGTTAGTGGACTTTATATGTTCCAAAGTATTGGCCGGTAGTCCGCCCCAAAGCATATTGGACGATGTCCAAATGGTGAGTATACAACACATCAAGTTCACCACGCTGCCAACTTTTATAAACAACACACTCTTTCTCTTTCGCTCACGCATGCGACAGGTGCTGGACGAGGAGGCTGAAGTGTTTGTGGTGAAAATGTGGCGCTTGCTCATCTACGAACTGGATGCCAAAAAGAGTGGCATCGCTGGCAAGTAGATGAGAGATGGCAGCGCCTATAACGGAGACGTTGCTATAACTTTAAGTTACATTTGTAATGCCTAGATACTATATAAAAAAAAAACAAAAATGAAAAATACGAAAAAAAAACCAAACACTATGATTATAGAAAGTGTACATACATAGGGCGTATGGCTTGCTTTAGCGTCAACAATTTTGTCACCTCGTGTTTTTAGCGGTAATTACAACACAAGAAAATAAAATTAAATTCATTGATATGTAAATACACTCACAGACACACCGAAACACACACACACATACACGCAAACACCAATCAAAATGAATGAAAAGAAATTGAATAACAATCGTGCTCCATGTACATTTCTATCTCAAAATCGTTTTTGCTTTTCTATTTTCCATTCTTTCTTTTAATTTTTATTTTCTTTTAATTAAAGTAAATTAAATTTAGCGCAGAGCTTTTGACTTGAAGAAATGTCTTCACATAAAATTTAATAATAAAGAGACAGAAAACAAAAAAAAGGAGCGAACAATTATACTACGCAAGGGAGCAAAAGAGAGCGCTTGCGCAGCTGGGCTAAAAATAACGAAGCCATTCTATAGGTACATGTACATATATAAAAAAAAGTCAGATGAACAAATTTTTGTTAGCCAATCGTAGCGTTGATTTGTGGGATAATTATATTTACAGTTAGGGTACATATAAACAGTTCGTCGTATTGCTTACCAAACAGCAGCGGGCATTACAAAATCCCGTTACACATCTCGAAGCATTTTGTTTTTTTTTTTTTTGGGATATGTAATAAAGCATTTATACTAATGAAATTGATACGTTTAAAATAAATATACGCTAAAAATTTAAGAAAATTACTATCGAAAAGCATAAAGAACCAAGGATAAGCACGGCGCGCCCGTCAACAATAACACGTCGATGCGCTTGAATCCACATCCTGGGTATTATCGATGGTCAAGCCGTTCGAGGCACTCCCGTTAACGAAATATTCTGACGAAACAATCTGGAATAATTTAATATTGATCAAAAAATTAATATAAGAATATAGTCACAATAAAAAACCCACCTTTTCCACAATATCCCTGAACACATCACTAACGTACTGATCACATTTGGCCGATGTTTCGATAAAGAGCGCACGATGTTTGCGCGCAAATTTGCGTCCATCCTCCCGGTCAACGACACGTTCCTGATCAATTTTGTTACCGGCTACAATAATTGCTATATTTGGATTATCACTGTAGCTGTCCAGCTCTGCCATCCAAGCATCCAGTTTGACCAGTGATTCGCGATTTGTGATGTCATAGACGAGTATGGCGCCCAGCGCCTTGCGATAGAAACTGGGTGTCAGACTGCGAAATCTTTCGGCGCCCGCTGTGTCCCACAGTGCAACCTTGTAGTCAATGCCATCCACATTCATGATGGCACTCTTAAAATCCATGCCAATTGTGACGTCATGATTGTCGTTAAACTTGTTCTCAACGAAACGACGTATTAGACTGGAATATGAAAGAAAAAAAAAACAATAGAAACACATTTTGCATCATGAATGCAAAATAAACAACACGCATTTATGACTAAGGCTTACTAAGCTAATCTCAATTGACGTATTGTTTACGTGTGTGTTTGTGTGCGCAGATGAAATACGCAATTGCAAATGTTAATTGGAATTGTTTTAAATTACTTGCCTGGATTTTCCAACGCCGCTCTCTCCTATGATAAGCAGCTTTATTGCTCTGTCAGCCATGTCTGCGATTTGTTTAGTTATATGCTCTGTTTTGTTTTCTACTTTACAATTAATTCATTAACGATTAAACTTAAACAATTAGTTGATTTGCTTGTGCTGTGCGGGGGCCGTGGGCTGGATTAATTGGCGTTGCCACATTGTCGCTTAACAGCATTGCTCCACACTCAACAGTGTTGAGCAACATGCTAGTGCTGTAAAATGGCACTACTGTCATATGTCAAAATCGTCGTTTGTTTTCATGTGACAGCCCTCGTTCGATTGCACGGCCCTAGTTCTTTCTTTTTTGACGTGACCAGCGAGAAAAATGGTTGGTACCGAGTTTCTGTGAATAATAATTCTTAAAAATATATAACATCCGTGCATAAAATAACAAAGAAATGTATGAAACACGAAACGAACTGTGCTAACTTATTGTGTGGCTTATTATTTTTTGTGTGTGCGCGTTAAAAAACAAATTATTAACTACAGTATTTTATTGTATTGTGTTTATTCCCCTCACATAGGTGAAGATCAAGTGCTCAGAATTGAGAACGAAGGACAAGAAGGAGCTCACCAAGCAATTGGATGAGCTCAAGAATGAGCTGCTCAATCTGCGTGTGGCTAAGGTCACCGGTGGAGCACCCTCCAAGCTGTCCAAGATGTAAGTCATTCATCCACCCACACCCCCTCTTCCGTCACTCATCGATGTTTGACTTATTTGTTTTTTTTTCTCTTTTCCTTTCTGCTTGCAGCCGCGTTGTCCGCAAGGCAATCGCACGCGTCTACATTGTGATGCACCAGAAGCAGAAGGAGAATCTGCGCAAGGTCTTCAAGAACAAGAAGTACAAGCCTTTGGATCTGCGCAAAAAGAAGACACGCTCCATGCGTAAGGCCCTTTCGTCGCGCGATGCTAACCGCAAGACCCTCAAGGAAATCCGCAAGCGCTCCATTTTCCCACAACGCAAATATGCCCTGAAAGCATAGAAAAAATTATATACCCCAACAGGCAGCAACAATTTGTTGTTAATAACTAGTGTGCGCTAAGAATTCTCCTGAAAACAAAAGCAAAAGGAATAAGAATAAAACCATTTTTTTTAAATGTGAATATCCTTATGTGTATATATTGTGTTAAACAACGAAAATCCGCGTGTATATGTGTGAGATATTTGTTTTCTAAGATGCCGCAAGGGCTTTACTGGTGTACTTCACCAACACTGACAAAGCTCGAGTCACAAGATTTATAATAGTGTGAGTTTGTTTTTCGAAAACACTCATGAGTTATGGCGTCGATTTGGAAATACATATATAGAGTCGGTGAGATTACTGTGCTTATCTCACTAAATTCCAATTGGAGCTACAGAGAGCAATGACTAAGTCGGGGTGGAATTTAATTATAGGTAAACGCGACCACTAAATTTGCCCATTGAAGGGTTAAGGGCAATCAAAACCAATTTTGGATCATATATTAATTTCAAAGTTGGCTTTAGTTTTAAAAAAAATATATTAAAAATTACATCAACTCAGCAAGCTATAGCTGGCACAGGAACTCACTGAATTATATAAATCTCACTATTAGCATACATAGATTCTTATATATATATATGTACAAACATATATATATGTATATATTTAAATAAGTAGCGAATATATCAGATAAAGCTAAAATGGCCGTTAATGTGCACTCAACAAATGTATCATCGCAAAACTGGTCGCGCCATGAGATGTTGACCTGGGTCAACTCCCAGTTGAAAGCTGAATTCACGAAGATCGAAGAGCTTTGCACAGGTAAGTGGCGCATTCGCTGGCAAAATATGAGAATTCGACGCTCGATTTCCGTAGGTTTTTGATATTTTGTGCTGTGAGGAAAATTAAATTTTGGTATATTGCTAGGCGCTGCTTATTGTCAGTTCATGGACATGCTGTTCCCCAACTCGGTTTCCGTCAAACGCATCAAGTTTCGCGCCAATCAAGAGCACGAGTTTGTGCACAATTTCAAGCTGCTGCAGGCGAGCTTTCAAAAAAAGGCCGTCCACAAGGAAATACCAATTGAACGGCTGATCAAGGGTCGCTTTCAGGATAATTTTGAGTTTTTACAATGGTTTCGAAAGTTCTTCAACGCCAACAATAAGGGCAAGGCCTACAATGCCCTCGCCGCACGCGATGGCTTGCCAATGGGCTTCGGTCCGAGCTCGGGCAAAGGTCCATCGCAGAGCGCACGCTCCGTATATAGCGCACATCAGGTGCGCACACGCACCTTTGTTAGTGATGCCCACTTGACATATCGAAAGGAGAAGGATATCGATATAGCTGACGATCACATCCATATGCAGGGCGTTCTGCAAGATCTGGAACGTGCCGAGCAGGATCGCGATATGTATGTATCGAAATTACGTGATGTCAAAGTGATTTGCGAGGAGAACATAGATGAGAATCCAGGTGTCGTTAAGAAAATACTTGATATTATCAATGAGGATGCCATTGAGTTCCCATATGATGATAAAACTTTTAATATCGAATTGTTTGATCAACCCAATGGCAGGCAGTGTTAAGCTGCGCTCACATAAATAATGTTTATAAGCACTCGCACACATACATACGCACACACGCTCATTAACCCACACACATATAGTCTCTGCTACACTCACGCATACATAATACACGCTCTTAGCCACGCACACGAATACTAACTTCATTGGGGCATTGGATACCAGGACGTATACCAGGAGCAGCTCAGTTTGATTTGACTATTTGTTTATCTGTTCTCTACATCACCATAAAGCATAATGCTAACCAATGTTCGCGTTCAGTAGCTAACATCTTAGTTGTTCGACAATAACACCCCAAGCCAATGCCCCAATTACAAAATCGTTAAGAGCCTATTTGAAATGGCCAACAGATAGTTAACTGCTGAACGCGTTCATTTTTTTCGTTTTATCAGCAATAATTCATGGTCTATCGATTATTTATTCTGCCATCTCAAAAAGCTCTTGAAATGAATTTCTTAAATTTACCGTTCCTCGTCTGTTTTAGCTGTGTTGCTATTTTAGCTTTTTCAGCTATCTCGTTTGTCTGCAAATCTCCAACTGTTTAGTTTTAGCTGCGTAAATGATTATTATGCCATCGCTAGTATCTTGAGGTGAATTGCTTGGCTTCACCGTTAACATTTGTCCATACGCTTATTCCAAAGACATTTAAGTACTTAGGTGTTGCACATGTTAGCTATTTAAAAGCTATATTGATTGTCCTAATAAATGAAATAAAGTTCAAAAACGTAATTTTATCGTCAATATAATCTATATATATTTTTTTTTCGTTTAGTTTGCTTTGTTTTTCTTAAGCGCTCGAATATATAATTAATTAAATTAAAAAAATTATTTATATTAATAAGTAGTTAATGTCGTATTGCAAAAGTCGAATACAAAAGACTCATACTGAATATGTTTGGCACATTTGGTTAATACTATTCTTCTGAACAGCATGAAACAATGGCGTGCTGCGAATAACGCCCGATAATTCCTTTGAGTTTTTGCTTTGGTGATAGTTTTTACTTGGCATCGGCGATAGCGGCTCACCCCAAAATTTGAGCAATGCGAATATCTTGTAATAGGCGACCCTAAGAATATATAAAAACGTATGTGATTCAATGCAAGAGTCTTGGCTCGTTCTTTATGATGAATGCTACCTGTAGTTGCGATTGCTGGCCGCATAGATGATCGGATTGATCACACTGGAGGCCCAGGCCATTACCGAGGCAATGATGTGTAGCCAGGGGTACGAGGTGTTGCGCTCATCATCCACCACATTGGCCAGCATCAGGGGCAGGAAACAGATGAGGAAGCAAACGAATATGGTGACCATCATCACGGTGAGCCGATTATCCTCGCGTGCTTTGCGAGTGCTCACCGTGGTCACATACGATCCCGACGCTGATCCAGCCGCCTTTGCAGCGGCGGCTGCGGCGCCAATTTGAAAATTGTCATGACTGCGTATCTTCTTCTTCTGATGCAGTACCGTTATATAGATGCAGGAATAGGAGACGAGTATGACCAGACAGGGCAGCAGAAAGCCAATTATGAAAAGGGTCTTCTTAATCGATTTGCCATCCTTCTTCAATATCGTACACGAAAAGGTCGTCTCATCCAGGCCCATCTCACCCCAAATGCCCAGAATTGGGGGCAACTGAAATGGTCAGATTGTATGTATATGTTATAGATAGGCTGTGTATGGCAGAGTCATTTCATAGCTACCAGCAGCAGGAAAGAAACAGCCCAGACAAACAGCAGCTGTAGCGTTATCAGCCTCGGCTTATAGATCTGTGAGTATCGGCTATGGCAGGCGATGAGTATATACCTGGTTGAATAGGACAATGAATTGATCAAGTTTATATGTTCAAAGAGTTACGGGAGTCTAGACAATAGTTGGCTCAATTCGAGTTCGAATCCTTACCTATTGAGTGTAATGCCCACCATGCTGAGCAAAGAGACGGCAACATTGCCATAGAAGATGACCGGAAAGATCTTGCACAGCGTGGTCCCAAATGTCCAGCTCTGCAATAGACAAAGATTAATTTTCGATTTAGATTTCGAATTGCGAATTGCGAATTGCGAATTCGACTTTCACGCACCTCCTGAAAGAACCGAACTGCTGTCAAGGGCAGACTGAAAGAGCAGAATAATAAATCTGATATGCTCAGAGATATGACAAAGGCCGTTGTCGCATGCTCCCGTATCGTCGGGCTCTTCAGTAGAGCCAGTAGCGTTATCAGATTGCCTGTAAATGGAATCGTATCAGAGGTTATTGTGTATCAAGACATGTTCTATGGGGAGAGAAAGAGTGCGAGAAGAGAGAGAAAAAGAAAGAGAGGAAAGTTCAAAAGTCACGAAAGAGAGACGTACTAATAAAGAGAGCAAGAGAAAGAGAAGAAACGACAGCTGATGACAGAGATGATAAGAGGAAGAGAGAATGTGAGGTGAAGAAAGAGGGAGCTGGGGAAACGAAGAGGAGTGGAAAGTGGAAGGGAGTTAAAGAGGGCGAACATATAGAGTGAGAGAAAGGCAAAGAGATGAAGGGTGAGAGAGGGAGATTGAGAGAATGAGATACAAAGATAAGAAGAGAAAGAGAGAGAGAGAGTTAAAAATACAGGGGAAGGCAGTGAGACACACAGAGTAAGAGAGTATAAGAAAAATGTAGAGAGAGCGCGACAGAGAAACAAGGAAATGCGAAACTCTTTTTAAAATTTGCTTTCTTGCTCTCTCTCTCTCTCTCTTTCTCTATCGATAGCTACAGTAAAGCTTTACTTATATAAATAATACAGATTTGCATAAAAATTCAGTTTAGGCTTCGACTGAGAAAGCAAATTCTGAACAAACAAGAATGTTCCTATATCCGATAACTGCATAGCAGCAGCTGTTCAAGTTATCGATTACAATTACTTTATATATCGTATATTTATACGATCATATTTTGCCATTTGATCACTAGGCGTCTTAGGGCTGCCAAATGAGCGGAAATATCGATATGCCCGGTCAGTTTTGTAGGAGTCATCGAACGATAGGCGTTCAACAGGACCAGAGTCCTTGGAGCATTGTCAAGTAATCAAATGGCATAGATGTAACTTGCTAATAAAACTGTAAATTACGTAATATCAGTAGTCAGAAGAAGCAATTGTTTTTGATGCAATAGCAATAGCATTGATCAGCCATCAGTCAGTCAGTCAGTCAGTCAATCAATGGCTTATAGTTAATACTTAAAATGTAAATCGCCGCTTTGTAATCCCCACTTACCAAACACGCCGATGGTCACAAACACGCAGGCACAGATGGCAGCGAAAAGCGTCGCGGAATGCGGGTATATAGACTGTGTGGGGGCATCCATGCTGTAAGGCGGAACACAAACACAGATCAAAAATATATTAAATATTATAATTTTAGAATGCACAATAAAATGCGCCAAACATATGCAGAAATACTACATATATATGTGCATAGATCAGTTGAGTATTTGTTCAAATTAAATAATCTATAGAGTTCCATCAATATTTGATTGAAGCAAGCAAAAGCGTTCTGGGCGAGCGTGTTCGACTACGAGATACCCTCACACTTGTGTCGAACTAGACTACTGTCGCTATATATAATGGATGCTTTGATTGAATAACACCCAAGGAGCATCTATCTGATAATAATACATAACACAGCTAGCTGCAAACACGTAGCACATATAGTTGAAGCTCATTGATATCGTTATCGTTTATCGATTGGCGACTACTGGAAAGAAACTTGTCTCTAGTCGCTAGCTCTGATAGTATGAACAGGGCTAGATCGATGCGAGTCTTGATCCTGCTCATACTTTACGGGCTCTGCCACGCCTTCTTCTGTCTGTTATATACAGTTTTACAAAAGCCATTAAAGTTAAACAAATACGTAAAGTTATTCCAGAATTTGTCTTTTAAATTCAGTATTGCCTAAAACTAGTTTTTGAGTCTGATAATCTATATTTGTTTTTCTACGTTTTGATAAACTTAAAACAAAAAACGTTCTAATTGCCAGATTTATAATTTTTCACTTCCTGTTTTCTTTCCCCATTTCGTAAAATGTTATCATTCACTTTTCGCTGTAAGTGAAAAAGTTGTAGAATCATCTGAGTAATAGGCGCTATCAGCAGTCAAATGGGGAATACGCATACACACACACATATGCATATACATATGTATAGTATATATATATATAATTTTTATGACCAATTTAATTGTATTTCGTATAAAAGTATCAAAAAAGAAAAGAAGAAGAAGTAGAAGATAAGCTGCAATGCAAAGGTCAAGCCTGACTCAAGGAAGTACTCGGACACGAGGAGATACCCGGCTAGGTAGTATATAAAGCTAATTGGAAGTAAGGCAAGCAGGACTTGAAGTAGAAGAAATAAATTTAGATAGGTAAAAGCAGAAGCAAATTAAATATAAATTTAAATATTATAACTTTTTAAATATTTGTATAATTTGTATTAATTTGAGCACACCTCGTAAACGGAATATATATATATATATATATTCAGAGTCAATAATTAATGTTATTCACAATTATCAATATCTCTATTAATACTATTGGACACTCAATTGGCTTTAGGTCAAAATGTTTTTTACAACACTTTTTAGCTGTGTTAAAAAAAGAACTCGAATATAATTTTATGTTCCTTTGAAGCTTATCAAAGTCAAATTCATCTCAAATACTTTGCGTTTAATTAAATTCCTTTGCGCACACTGTTTACCAGTGTTAAAAAACGGGCTGCGAAAGAATTTACAAACGCTTAAAGGCAAAACCCTAAGAAGACGAGACCGATTCCCATAACAATCTAAGTTTTAAATGTAATTTTTATAACTTTAGCTGTTTGCACAAAACTTTTATTGAAACAGCTAAGTAAAGAGAATGGTCAATATAACTTGAATCCTTTCTGTCAATCAAGTGAAAAACTTTACTCATCAACAAATTCTTATATTTGCTACTTATACAACACTGTGTAAGGGATATACTCCAGAAAGAATTGCTAAAGCCGAGTTGCTCTTAGAGATTAGACTGAGAAAGTAAAACTAAAAACATAATTGACTATAAAAAGTAACAACACAGTTTATCAGTGTTAAAAAACTTTTCAATTTAAGAAGTTAGCTGAGCGATTTGGCAAACAGAATTGAGTTACATTCCTTCTACTAGAGACTAGATTTGCATTCAAAGCTTAAGCTCATTTTAAAACACTATAAACTCCATATTAGCCACTTATACAACACTGCTTTGAAACACACACGTTAAATGAATTAAAATACAAAGTCAGGTTAGACCCTTAAATACCCAAATACCTTCTATATAGTTTGAAGTCAGTTTCTATTTGAAAAAACGTTCTTTTTTGACTCTTCCGAATTATGTTCTAAAACATGTTGAACCGAACTTTGCAACGCGATCCTCCGCAACGAAATGTTGAACCGAAAACACAAGAAAAAAAAAGAAATAAATAAACGAAAGAGAGAATTTATCATTGTAGCGTGCGAGAGAGAGAGAGAGGGAAATGAGTGAGAGCAATGAAAATTAAATTTTCAATTAAGCTTTGTTTGTTTTTCGTATTGTGACAGTTTTCATTGTTGTTGTGGATAGTTTTTTTCTCTCCCTTTATATACCCTGTAGTATAGCGCCAAAGTGGGGCTTATTAGTGATGAAACACTGCTATAAAGTGAATACTCTTATGTTTGATTGCGTTGTTTAGCTTTGATTTTCTAATTTGTTATCGATTACCAAATATCGATTATGTGAG